AAGGCTATGGTTTTTCCAGTGGTCATGTATGGATGTGAGAGTTGGACTGTGAAGAAAGCTGAGCACCGAAAAATTGATGCTTTTGAACTGTGGTGTTGGAGAAGAGTCTTGCGAGTCCCTTGGACTGCAAGGAGATCCAACCAGTCCATCCTAAAGGAAATCAGTCCTGGGTGTTCACTGGAAGGACTGATGCTGAAGCTGAAACTTCAATAGTTTGGCCACCTGATGGGAAGAACTGACTCACTGGAAAAGACCTTGATGCTGGGAAAGATTGGGGGCAGGAGGAGAAGGGGACGACAGAGGATGAGATGGTTGGATGGCATCACCGACTCAATGGCCATGAGTTTTAGTAAACTCCAGGAGTTGGTGATTGACCGGGAGGCCTGCCGTGCTGTAGTCCGAGGAGGGGTCACAAAGAGTCGGACATGAATGAGCGACTGAACTGAACTGAACTGTACTTTCTGTTTAGATTTGCTGTGAACTGAAAACTAAAAAATAAGGTTTTTAAAAAAATAATGATATTTATAAAGCAAATATGCATTGTAATTGTGGACTTATGATACTTTTGTCTTCAGGCCCAGAATAAAGAGACCAATGTTTTAGCTGCTGCAAAGGTGATTGACACCAAATCTGAAGAAGAACTTGAAGACTATATGGTTGAAATTGATATATTAGCATCTTGTGATCACCCTAATATAGTCAAGCTTCTAGATGCCTTTTATTATGAGAATAATCTTTGGGTAAGTATTTTTGGCTAATCTGTAGGAATAGCCAAAATAAGTTAATTGTCTTGAAGAGATTTATAAGTTGTGTAGACCTTTTTTTGCACTACCTCTTCTATTTAGTTACTTAGGCTACTTGAATGAGAATTGACCCGTTGATGAGAGGGTGATTAACAACATAGCAACATATCCTTAACTTCAACTGATGTTTAGATGTGTATTTCAGAATACTATATTTCTTGATTGTTTGACATTTGACTGAAATTTAGAAACTTGGTGAAGAATTTTAAATTTCCTAAATAATGAAATTAGATTCCTTTTTTCTCTTGAATTAATATTTTTTTCCCGGTTAGAACTTTCTTTCTTTCAAGTCTTTTTTCCCCCAGTTCTTTTATTTATTTAATGTTAGTTTGAAGTGTCTTATTTAAGTTTCTTAATTTAAATTTAAGTATTTAAATTTTTTTTAAGTTTCTTTTGTTGTGGCTAGGCCTGTATGTAAAACTTTTATTCATTTTTAGAAAATGTTAGACATAAATAAATATATAAAAAATGTGAATATTTATAATAACCAGTCAGTCACTTGCTCTGCACCAATACTAATTCAATCAAGAGTACTTTTTTAAATGGAGTTTTAGTTTGTCTCCTTGAAGGAATAAGCAAAGTATTACAAAAGAAGTGTAGATAATATAAGCTGTACTTGCTTGCGAATCAAAAGACCTTTCCTTTTTTATTTTGGTGATGCTAGGCAGGAACTTGGATAAATCAGTTAATCTTTTATCAGTCTGTTTACTCAACTATAGGATGAATAATGATCTGTCTCCCAAATTATTTTTCCTATGATATAATGAGTTTGAAAACAACTTATTGGTAAGCTCCTGTAAAAAATAAAGTGTTGTTCTATAGAGGAGAAAAAACTATGAAGCTATAAAATTTGTTAAGCTATATAATTAAAAAAATAGCTGGACAACTATGAGGGACAGTGGGAGGGAGAGATAGACATGAATTAATTGAAGAATCATAAAAATGCAAAATGAAAACTGTGATGAGGATTAAGAAGGAAAACTGCATGGTGGTATGTACTGGTGAGGTTTGGGAAGGCATCCAGTAGGAAGTGATAAGTGAGCTAGTATCTGAAGCTTTTGTGTATGTTTTCCCCAAGTTTTTAGAAAAACTAAAATCCCTCTTTCAGGATATATTCCTGATGGTAAAGTTAAAAAATATACTTGTTCATTTAACTCAGAATAGTTACCTTAAAAAGGAGAGTATAAAGTCTTTGAGTGGTGAGGAAATGGATATATAATATAGCCCTTAATAAAAATTCTGTACCTGGTAATTTTAGAGAACCTGGGACACTACAAGTGGTGATGAACGAAAATGCTCATACTTCCACAGTGTGTTCCTTTTGTACTTTCTCAAATGTATAGCAAGACTTGTAACTCTTTTTACAAAGAGAGTCTTTATGGTTGTTAGCATAATATTGTTTATGTAACTTAGGTTATTTGATACATATTTATTTATCTTTTTTGCTAGCTTGAAGGAAAAATACTCAGAATCAGTGTTGTGTTAAACATGTGCTTTTTTATTTGCCTGCAGATCCTCATTGAATTTTGTGCTGGTGGAGCAGTGGATGCTGTGATGCTTGGTAAATGTATTTCTGTTCCTTACATTTATATCTTAAATTATACTTTAAAAAAAGTCAGTGGATTTCAAACATTTATACATGTATGTTTATCTTATTGTTGAGTAACATTCAATAAGTTAAATCAGCCTAATTATTTTTGTATTCTTAGATGACTGAAATAAAATTTTAAAATTAAATGTTGAGTATAATATGTGAAGAAAGTAATATTTGTGGTATACTTTAAAAAAAATCATTTCATTGTATATTATCTTCAACAGTGACAGTAAAAGTATTAAAGGTATATAGCCTGCTGATACACTTTCAGCGTACCAAAATGCTTATTTGTTTACTTTTTCCTTTCAGAGCTTGAGAGACCGTTAACTGAGTCCCAAATACAAGTAGTTTGTAAGCAAACTTTAGAGGCTTTGAACTACTTACATGATAATAAAATCATCCACAGAGATCTAAAGGCTGGCAACATTCTTTTTACCTTAGATGGAGATATTAAGTTGGGTAAGTTTATTCTTTTAGATAAAACATTTGATTTTGTGCTTAGAGATTTCTCCCTGTATGTCTGTTACTTATTATTGTTCTTTTATGACTCAAATATTAATATGTGAAACAAAGAGAATTACGTTAAAATATGTAAAACATGGAGAATTACTTCATGTTAATTTTTTAAATTGGGGCTTCCCAGGTGGTGTAGTGGTAAAGAATCTGCCTGCCAAACAGGAGATGTGGATTTGATCCCTGGGTTGGGAAGATCTCCGGGAGAAGGAAATGGCAACCCACTCCAGTATTCTTGCCTGGGAAGTCCCACGGACAGAGGGACTTGGTGAGCTGCAGTCCATGGGGTTGCAAAGAATCAGACATGACTTAGCGACTAAACAGCAGCAGCAATTTTTAAAATACTTCCTTGGAGGGATTTCCCTGGCAGTCCAGTGGTTAAGACTTGGTGCTTTCACTGCCAATGGCCTGGGAACTAAGATCCCACAAAACATGAGGTGAGGCCAAAAAAACAAAAAACTTGGGAAATAATTATTCTTTAACTCCCAGAATTTCTAAGTATAGGCACCTAATATAAAGACTCTTTAAACAATAAGAAAGGATGGATTGTTATTTTTTATTTATTTATTTATTTATTTATTTATCTTCCATTTANTCTGGGTTGCTTCCATGTCCTGGCTATTATAAACAGTGCTGCGATGAACATTGGGGTGCATGTGGCTCTTTCAGATCTGGTTTCCTTGGTGTGTATGCCCAGAAGTGGGATTGCTGGGTCATATGGCAGTTCTATTTCCAGCTTTTTAAGAAAGGAAAGGATGGATTGTTATTTTTAAAAAGACACACTTTTAAAAGACTGCCTAATAATTTTTCCCTTAAATTTTTATATGTAGAATTAATATTTATAAATACAGTGCATTTAGAAAATGATACATTATGTAAAACCACTTAGTTTTGTCTTCATTTCCAAAACTCATATCTAGTCATTTTCTTTTTCCATCTTTAGTTTTATATTCTATTTTGTAGATATGGTATCTTGGCTAAACTCACAAAGTAACTAACCTTAAGTGTAAAAAAGATGCTAAATTAAGTATAAGGTTGAAAATTGTTTTTTTTTCATTGAGGGAATAAATGATAATTTCATAAGGAGGAATAGATATAGACTTTAGATGGGAAATTAATGAATTTCAAATATACACATACAGATAGAAGATACAGTCGTTTCTAAGTATTTCCAAGATATGAATTAAAAAAAAAAAACTCTGGTGAGGAAGCCTAAATTTGAGTATTTTGGACAGATATTAAAAGGACAATGGCCATGCTGATACCAGTGATCATAGTTCACTTTACTTTGTCGTGACCTCTAAGCAGGTATACTTTTTTTTTTTCATTTATTTTTATTAGTTGGAGGCTAATTACTTTACAATATAGTAGTGGTTTTTGCCATACATTGACATGCATCAGCCATGGATTTACATGTGTTCCCCATCCCAATCCCCCCTCCCACCTCCCTCTCCATCCCATCCCTCTGGGTCTTCCCAGTGCACCAGGCCTGAGCACTTGTCTCATGCATCCAACCTGGGCTGGTGATCTGTTTCACCCTTGATAGTATACTTGCTTCAATGCTATTCTCTCAGAACATCCCATCCTCGCCTTCTCCCACAGAGTCCAAAAGTCCATTCTGTACATCTGTGTCTCTTTTTCCATTTGCATATAGGGTTATTGTTACCATCTTTCTAAATTCCATATATATGTGTTAGTATACTGTATTGGTCTCTATCTTTCTGGCTTACTTCACTCTGTGTAATGGGCTCCAGTTTCGTCCATCTCATTAGAACTGATTCAGATGACTTCTTTTTAATGGCTGAGTAATATTCCATTGTGTATATGTACCATAGCTTCCTTATCCATTCATCTGCTGATGGGCATCTAGGTTGCTTCCATGTCCTGGCTATGATAAACAGTGCTGCGATGAACATTGGGGTGCACGTGTCTCTTTCAGATCTGGTTTCCTTGGTGTGTATGCCCAGAAGTGGGATTGCTAGGTCATATGGCAGTTCTATTTCCAGTTTTTTAAGAAATCTCCACACTGTTCTCCATAGCGGCTGTACTAGTTTGCATTCCCACCAACAGTGTAAGAGGGTTCCCTTTTCTCCACACCCTCTCCAGCATTTATTGCTTGTAGACTTTTGGATAGCAGCAGGCCTGACTGGCGTGTAATGGTACCTCATTGTGGTTTTGATTTGCATTTCTCTGATAATGAGTGATGTTGAGCATCTTTTCATGTGTTTGTTAGCCATCTGTATGTCTTCCTTAGAGAAATGTCTGTTTAGTTCTTTGGCCCATTTTTTGATTGGGTCATTTATTTTTCTGGAATTGAGCTGCAGGAGTTGCTTGTATATTTTTGAGATTAATCCTTTGTCTGTTGCTTCGTTTGCTATTTTCTCCCAATCTGAGGGCTGTCTTTTCACCTTGCTTATAGTTTCCTTTGTTGTGCAAAAGCTTTTAAGTTTCATTAGGTCCCATTTGTTTATTTTTGCTTTTATTTCCGATATTCTGGGAGGTGGATCATAGAGGATCCTGCTGTGATTTATGTCAGAGAGTGTTTTGCCTATGTTCTCCTCTAGGAGTTTTATAGTTTCTGGTCTTACGTTTAGATCTTTAATCCATTTTGAGTTTATTTTTGTGTATGATGTTAGAAAGTGTTCTAGTTTCATTCTTTTATAAGTGGCTGACCAGTCTTCCCAGCACCACTTGTTAAAGAGGTTGTCTTTTTTCCATTGTATATCCTTGCCTCCTTTTCGAAGATAAGGTGTCCATAAGTACGTGAATTTATCTCTGGGCTTTCTATTCTGTTCCATTGATCTATATTTCTGTCTTTGTGCCAGTACCATACTGTCTTGATGACTGTGGCTTTGTAGTAGAGCCTGAAGTCAGGCAGGTTGATTCCTCCAGTTCCATTCTTCTTTCTCAAGATTGCTTTGGCTATTCGAGGTTTTTTTGTATTTCCATACAAATTGTGAAATTATTTGTTCTAGTTCTGTGAAGAATACTGTTGGTAGCTTGATAGGGATTGCATTGAATCTATATGTATGTGTAGTCTTCATAGCAGTTAGTGCCGTTTCTTGTTTTTGTTTTTTTAAGAATATGTTTTCCTTCTCTAGTATTCCCCATATAACGCCTAACTAAAATAAAATCTTCCTCAGGAAACAAGAAGACAAAAGAAAACATTGAAGAAAACACGCAAATTTGTTGTTGATGGTGTAGAAGTAAGTGTAACAACATCAAAGATAGTTACTGATAGTGACTCCAAAACCGAAGAACTGAGGTTTCTTAGGTGAGTAGAGAAACAGCATGATTTCATCTGGTTTTGTGACTTCTCAGGTCTCTGCAGAGTCTGAAGAATAGAGCAACGAGTAGTCTTGGTTAGTTTTACGTTATTGTTTTATTACTTTTCCATTGGAAGAAAATGTTAGTTTTCCAGTTTTGTCTTGTAAAGCATTACTTCAGTGGTGTAATTTTTACTCCTCTTTTTGTATTGTCACTATTAAATTTTATCAGACGTCAGGAACTTCGGGAATTAAGATTTCTTCAAAAAGAAGAACAAAGAGCCCAACAGCAGCTCAATGGCAAACTGCAGCAACAGCGAGAGCAAATTTTCCGACGTTTTGAGCAGGAGATGATGGTAAAGTCTTGGAATTTTGTACCATTTTGTTCATAAAGAAATTTACTGCTTAAAAAATTCACTGCTGAAAGATTTCAGAACTTTTTCCCTGTTTACTAGATTTCTCTGGCTTTGTGATGTTTTTGGCCTTTGTCTCTTTGGTGTTCTAGATGTTTTCTTTTTCTTTTCTTCCTGTTTTTGGCTGTTTGCCTGACTTACAGCATGTTGGGTGTCTTCATTTTTCTTGATTAAGATCTGTCATGAAGACCTGGAATCATGAAGCTAATAGATGGTTTGCAAATTTCTGTAGCTGGACAACTTTTTATTGCTAAAATTTTACCTCTCAGAATCCAAGATTTTAAGCTACTCTAGAGCACTTGTCTTCAAAATTGGTTGAGTGTTAGAACTTCTTGGGGGGTTTTTCAAAATATGCTTACTTCTCTGGCTACTGCGGTTAAGCTTCCACATCGCTTTTCACAGCTGCTAGAAAAGTTAGTGCTGATTTGTCAAGGGTAATTGTCACTGAGTCTTTAAATTTTTACTTTGTGTCCAAAGTTGGGAAAGGAATTGTTAACGTGATATAAAATTTCAATAACTTACGTTGAACATCTAGCTTAATGTAGGTTAGAAAAAAGGATCATTTGAAATGTTATAGGATTCGTGATTGATTATAGTTCTTATGTTTTATAATTTTAAGTGGTAAGGATTGTTTTGTGTGAAGCTTGGCATTGCTGATTTTTTTTGTTGGGTCCTAACTGAGAATTCCTAAGGAAATAATGAGCTTTTGTTTTCATTGAGTATTTTTATAGTATATTCTGTTTTTTTAGGACCTTACAAAAACTGTGTTTCTCCTCTCCCTATATTTTCCAAAATATTTTGCTTTTTAATTTTTCAAAAGAAAAATAAGTTTACAAATAAGTACCTATGTCTAAAATTGCAGTGTTATTCAAGTATTATATAAACAGGAATCTTTTGTTGAGAGAATAGCTTTATAATTCTAAAAGGTTTGTTTCAGTGAAATAGGATGTTTATCTTAAGACTCTTGACGAGGAAGAGTAAGTCTGAAAATGACAAGTAATGGTATGTTTTTAAAATAGACTTCAAATATGACCTTTGATTTATCAGAAATCATATAGGAAAAATATTGAAATTTTTCTTACTTTAGTATTTCATAGCAATTGGATATTCTTCTGGATATAATTTTTGAGTATTCTATACTTGCATAATAGAAAAAAGTATTTTCCTTATTAGAAAAAAATGAAAATGCTCATCTTTTTGGAAAATTTTAAAACATATTTTAGTGAATTTGACTTGTTCAGTATTGCAGAGGGTACGTATTTTATCATTAAGTTTAAATGCCAGTTATCAATATGTGCTCTTAGTAAACATTTTCAGTATAATAAGTTGATATGAGCATTAATGTTAAATGATCTTGAACTACATTATTTTACAGAGCAAGAAACGACAATATGATCAGGAGATTGAAAATCTAGAAAAACAGCAGAAACAGACTATTGAACGTCTAGAACAGGAACACACAAATCGCTTACGAGATGAAGCCAAACGCATTAAAGGTGAACAAGAAAAAGAGTTGTCCAAATTTCAGAATATGTTAAAGAACCGAAAGAAGGAGGTAAGTGTAACTATCCTTTTCAGTGTACACGTGTTTAAGGAATAAAGAATAATACTTGTTAGTTATGTGGCACTCATTCATTTTTTTTTTTTTCAGTCTTCCCAGCAGTCATGTAGGGTAGCAGTAAGGCCAGATGTTACCTAATTTTACTGCCAAGAAAACTGGAGTAGAAAAGGTTTTAATGACCTTTTCAAGTTCACAAACACACATTAAATATCCAGCTAACCCTTGAATCAAGACTTCAAATTGAGTCTAATCCATTTTCCGTTTAACCTATCATTCCTCCTTTATTAATGCAGCATTTAAGTCCTGACATAGTGATGTTTTTTCAAGAAAACATGCTATGATCTGTTTGCAGGTGGCAACAATATTTCAATTTAGTATTTATTTGCAGTATTTAATTCATGCTTAAAAATTATTTTTTCCTGATTATCTTGAGTACCTTTCTCAGATATTGTGTCCAAACAAAAGCTGAATAACCTGAAATTTGAAATAATATCTCCAGGTTTATCAGATTGTGAGACACTTTTAAGAATCACAGGTGGAAAATACCTTTGACTAGAATGAATTTTTTCATTTTTCCTGAAACTATTCCATATTGTCATAGAATCTGTTGTATGGTATTATTTACTATGAAAGATTGTCATTGTTTCAGAAAGAGGATTTACATATTGTATTAGTGTGTCTTTTTCTTCCCCAATTAAAATAAAACTAAGAGAACTTTTACATATTAGCAGTTTTGAGAGATAATTTTATAATTTATTCTGTTCCTTCAGTGTAGGAGGAGAATTTATCTTTTAATGATATAAAAGACTCCTTGGACAATATTATGATCAGATTAATTAGTTTTGGAGCAAACTGACATCAACCAAACTAGTGAATACATTTTCACTTTTGTTGGCATGTCCCCAATACTCAGATTCATTGATTTTAAAAATGAAATGCAGAAAATGGAATATCATATTGCTGAACTTCAGGATCTGGTTTTAAAAGGATAGAATCAAATATTAATAGTACATTCTTTGATTTCTCTAGGTAAAGATGAGTGAAATGGTATATAACCATTTGATGTGGCTTCCATTTCTAAAAATTACTGTTTTGTTACTGTTTATTTTATTTCATATAGGATTGCTTTATATACCATGATATATGACTTTACTGAGACCAAATGTTAATATTTCTTGAAACCATGGATAGATGGATAGTTTTTATTAAAAGGTTGTTTTCTAATATCAGATTAAATTTTAAAAATTTTGTAGGTAAATATATGATTTAATTTTAGAGATAAAAATGTTTCTAGTTATTGTTACTGTTTTGGAGTAGGAGAGGTTTAGTCATTGAACGTGTTTGAGATCATGATATGCATATTTTAAATAATTATGTATTTTTTTCCTTATTGCTAAACTTCTTGCATTTGGGGAGTCTCTTCTTTTTAATGGTGATTTGGTTTCATGAGAGATTACTGATGGGAAATTTTAAATACATTTGTTAAATCAAAATCAGTCTCTTTCACAGACCATAAATGGCATGTGGTGATTTGGAATCTGGTTGCTTTTGGTGCTTCTACTTATAAACACATGATTGTCTTTCATAGTTGGATTACAGATTTGTTCTTAGGTGGAATACACATCTCGGATTTTGAAGTGATTAAAAGGAGCTCTAAAATACACTTTATTTTATAATATACTTTATCTGGTATAATAAATCATAGCATACTAAACTTATTTTTTGAGGGCTTATATTACAGATTTTGAAGTTGACAATTGATTTTGGCTTAATTGATCAGCAAAGGAGAATGTTATTCTAATTTAACCCCAAAGTTGTCAAATATGCTCATTTTTATTACACCATGTATAAAATGGTGTTTTATAAAAAAAGAAAACTTAGTGTCCATTTATTTCTCCTTTGTGTTATTCTAAGGCTTACTATTGTTTTTCTTTTGTTCTCATTAAGTGGATTTCATTTAGAATTATCTCATTGGTTTTATCAAGCCAATCATGAAATGTTGCAGTTTTATAAATGAATGGCATTAGTTTTCCTTATATCCAGTATATCAAACAGTGTCAATAGATAATGTCAATAGATATGTCTATAATTTTATGATCTTTCAAGGTCAGTTGGGTTTATCACCTTTAGTTCAGCATTAGTGCTGCAAGTAATTCTTTACTGATCACCTTTGAATCTAAAGAGAGAATGATATGTAGGGATAATTAAGCAGCTAATTAACCTTTATATGGTGTAATGTCCCTTTCTGCACTATGATTAAGCATGTTCTATCCTTTCATTCTTTTTCTTCAAACTAACACCTGTGCTAATGCATGTTGAAAGGAACTTTTTAACAGCTTTATCTGACTTGTAGCTTGTCTGCTCACATAAATGCTTGCTGTGGAGAAAGTATTTTTCCCCACCTCCTGCATGCTTATACACTGTAGGTTATAAATGAAGTGGAGAGAGCACCCAAAGAGCTGAGAAAAGAGCTCATGAAACGCAGGAAAGAGGAGCTTGCACAAAGCCAGCATGCTCAGGTAACAGCAGCAGCTTAATGCTACTAAAAACAGAAAGCGGCATTATTCACAGCTCAATAAACCATGGTTAAAAGGGTAAATTCTGTACTTATTATATGATGTTGACATCTCCTCAAAGGATCCCAGGGCATTCTTTATGTAGTACTAAATTCACAATAATGGTGACATTTAAGTTGCTAATATGAAACTAAGTGAAATGTTTGGAAAGCTGACTGCAGATGAAATAAATGTGTATGTTAATGTATAATCCACTGTATTCTTATTTTAATTGTGATGGAAGCTTACATTTTTAAGTGGTAATGTCAATGTTTGATAGAAGACTTTTAGGACAGAAAAATATAGAGGGTGAGTATATAAGCTTTGTGTGTACAAGAAGAATGCATATTAAAAGGCCATTAATTTGGGAATCCCCTGTTGGCCTAGTGGTTAGGATTCTGGGCTTTCACTACTATGGCCTGGGTTCAATCTCTGGTCAGGGAAATAAGACTCCACAAGCTGGTAAATGATAATGTTAAATGGTAGATCAAACATTTATTACTATTAAACTCAACAATATAAGCTACTTAAAACCATATTTTAAATATTAAGTATGTTCTTTTTGATTCAGAATCTAGCAGTTACAAAAATAGACAGTTGTCACCTAAGTAAACTTGATTTTATGTTATGATAAGGCTGAACCTGTTAATGGGTGAATTCTTTACAAAACTTAGATAAATTGGTATTTTCAACAGAGTTTTCTGGAATTACCTCACATTACTCTACGAGGTCTTTTATACTTGGGATCATCTTTCTTTTAATCAAGTTTGTACTCAGCCTGGAGGCAGAGAGAGAAATGAGCTCAGTTTATAGTTACAAATGTTAATGAAAGGGAGAAGAGACATGGATTATTTATTATTTGTTGCTTTAAAAATTACCTTTTTAATGTGGGTTTTTATGTAATTTAAAAAGTTGGTTCCCAGCCTTTTGAATTTTATAGATTCATGAAAAGGAATATAGAAACCAACAGAAACCTTTGGGGACCATGACCAGTGCGTTGCCATTAAAATTTTTTTTTTCGTCAGGGCAGTTTATTTGAAACTGCCATTTACTTGTCACCATCTTTTCAAACAAGGAATTATTTTAACACCATGAAAAATAAGAAAAATACCTTGGAATTTAAAAATTTTAACAAAACTCATCTATTTAAATAAATTTAGTTTTTTTTTTCTTTCTTTGAGTCAAAATTTGGTCTTAGCCTAGTATGGGAATTACTACAGGCACACCTCTTTTTATTGTTCTTCGCTTCTTTGTGCTTTTGCAGTATTGTGTCCCACCTGTCCCCCCACAAATTGAAGGTTAATGCAACCCTGCATCAGGCAAGTCTGTCAGCACCATTTTTCCAACAGTATTTGCTTGCTTCGTGTCTCTGTGTTACCTTTTGGTAATGCTCACAGTATTTCAAACTTTTCTATTATATTTGTTATGGTGATCTCTGATCTAAAATCTTTGATGTTACTACTACAACTTACTGAGGGGTTAGGTAGTGGTCAGCATTTTCAGCAATAAACTACTTTTTAATTCAGGTATGTATGTTGTTTTTTTCAGACAAAGCTATTGCATACTTTATTTAATAGAATACAGTATAGCATAAACATAACTTACGTATTTGGGAAACCAGATAATTCGTGTGTTTTACTTTATTGCATGGACTAGAGCTGAACCTACAGTATCTCCAAGGCATGCCTGTCGATAAGGTGATACTAGCAGACACAGGGTTTCTGTGAGTCACAGACTGATTTCACCTGTATGAACTCGTGAACAACAGAGGGGGTGGTTACTCGTATGTCCCTCATTCGACAGGTGAGGGAACGAAAACACAGGAGGTTGGATGACTCTCCAAGCTCACTCATTTGGTTAATGGTGGAGCTGGAATTCTCATCTAGGCAGGTTTGCCTCCATGCTCCACACACTGAACCACCATGTCATCCTGCCTCATATGTAAGCCACCTGATCTGTGCCGAGTCTGAACTCTCGCTGGCTTGGCCCAGTGGTTGTTAAGCCATGTCTTACTGATAGCTGAAGAGGAAGTCCTTGTTGGCCTCACATCTATTTTTGGATAATTCGGATTTCACACCAGATAACAACAATTTGGTTTTCCCTTGTAAAGGGATATGGAGTTTAATTCCAGAAGGCAATATATCAGACTCTATAGAATCGAGAGTAAGAATTTAGTGTTGAATGAATCACGTGATCCAGTGCTTTAATAAGACTTTGTAGGTGATTTTTCATATAGTGTGAGATGCTAGCCTGTATTTTCGACTAAAGCTAAAATCAGTAGTAAATTTCTTTCTGTAAATTTAATGACAAATTTAGTAATTAACTGATTTCAAAAGTATTTATATTTAGCTACTGCTTTTGATGAAGATGCTAACACTTGATAACTTTACAGGGTCTAATATTTTAAACTTTTTAAAGACTATGCATAATAACCACATAGACATGAAACTAGAGTTTGTTGGATAATCTAGCCCAGTGGTTTTCAGACTGTACTCCTAGGAGCCGTTGAGTTTGGAAGAAGCACATTGAGAATTCTTCAGAAATGAGAACAGTAGGGCTCTGTACCCCTACTTCCAGAGCAGTACCACTTTTCATCTGTTTTATAAACAGATTTCTTTTGGCGAGTTTTTTAAAAGAGTTCAGCTGGTTTAAAAAACAACAGCAGCAAACTGGAGGTTGGAAACCACTGATCTAGTTCAAATCCTTCATTCTATAGGCCCTTTTGTTAACTGACCAGTTCCAGGCCTCAGGAAGCTCAGCATTTATATAATCATTCTTTGCATTTACAAAGTCATTCAGCTCTGTTCTCACCTGGGAGGCGCGTTGTATTCTGATCCGCAGGGTGTTGCTCAGGTCATGATTCAGTCTTTTCAGTTGTCATCTTGTGCAGTCAACGCCCAAATGCAGGACGTAAGTCCCCCGTGCCTTACCGGAGGGTGCCTTCTGTTTTACCTGCTTTTCTTTGGCTCACATGTGCCTTTTCACTGTTAGTTTCATTTGTTATAAATCTAGAAGATTGATAAATGACAATGTCAATAGCAATAACCTGACGTGAACTTTATAGTACAGTATTCTTTGAAGAGTTTTCACATTTAATTCTCACTGCCAACCCCCTAATATGGTGGTGGAATGTACCCATTTTACAGATGAAGAAATCGAAGCACAGAAGACTAAGTGATTTGCCTAAAGTTGCAAAAGAGATTAGTGGTAGAGCTGTAACTAGAACACTTCTACTATAGTGTTCTTTTTTCTGTCTACTCCACCACGGATTTTAATCTGAGATTTTCATCTTTTTTCAAGAAATGTCTTTCCAATAGTTTTTTCTGTGTTTTTGCACATGTGAGAAATTGAATGAATGCTGTGATTACATTTTTATCTTCGTGTGAAGTGACGTTTTGATTGCTTATATGTTTATGTAGATGTTTTAATTATGGATATGGTCAGAAAAGCCATGTTAAAAGTGGTGATTTCAGTTCCATTTAGTTTTCATTATTCAAATCATCCCATATGAATAGTGGATTGCTATTCTCCATGTTGTAGTTTTAAATTAAGTGTGGAATTCCAGGCTGTATTCTTTCTCACAGTTTCTATAGGGAAATGAGTAGCTTATTTAACACTATAATTTTTGTTTGTGATGTTTGGTATACACAACTGGAGTAGATAGAATACAGCTTGATTTCAACCCCTTCTTACCCCTCTCCTGAAATTACTTATTTATCTTTATTATTGACAGCCATTGGACTCTATCGTTTTCGAAAAGAGTAAGCAAAATGTTATTTTATGATGAGAGGGAGGAATTAGTGAATTACAAACACTTTTCTGATCATTACCATTGTACACTTTTGTTTTAAGTTAAAATGATCAAATTCTGTATTCAAATAGTCCCACATATCATAATTTTTCCTTATCGTTTCCTAGAACCCAAAGCTGTATTTTTAATGTTTACAGTTATCAGGCTAACAAAATTCTGTATCAGAATTAAAACTTGTACATTTAAAGGGCACTCATTTTACAATTTATGTGTCCATTTTGAAATTGTTATGCCTAGTGATTGAATTGATCTGTTGTTATTTTATTAAAGTGAATGTAGTTTATGCAGTCTTTTTGGAATGTAAGATCACTTTTCTTTTAGATCCTAAGTAATTTCTAATTACAGGTTCCACTGTGAATGTATTATACTCGGCTTTTGAAGTTAGGAACTTGAATGAAAGCTCAGTGATATTAAATTTTCATTTCTTTTATGATAATAAAATATATTAATTAGCATGTAAGGGACCCTTTGATCTTCCCTGTAGCTCAGATGGCAAAGAATCTACCTGTAATGTTAATAAGTAGGAGTTAACTATGTTGGTGTTGAGAAAGAGGACAGATAATTGTGATGGAAGTCAAATCTTAACCAGATTTAAAATCAATATAAAGAATACCTAATGAATAAGGGACCCTTTTAGGTACTTTTAAGCTTTAATATAAAAAATCAGTTGCAAATATTTTGGCTGTGTAATCATCCACACTCTGCTTAATTATTCAAGCCTATAGCTCAGTAAGGCAGTTGGTGTCTTTGAAACTCTGAGGATTAGGAAACACTTCCGTAGTTTATGTGCCTTGACTCTTACCTGTTGATCTTCATTTTATCTTCTGGAGGAGCATGGTGCTAGTTCTGCCAGCTTCTAGATAACAGTCTTTGCTCTTTTTTTCCCTCTCATATACTGGCCACTTTAGGGCATGCTTCTGCAGTTCTCTGTCATTCACTTTGAATCTTCATTTCTGGATCCTTTTGTTCCTTGCTTTGAGTTCTCTGTGGTTTACTTTGGAACTTTTGAAAGTATGTTACTGAGGGAAGGGGCCCACTATGCTTTACAGGGACTGACAGATAAAACCCAATTTGGGATCAATAGAGTGGAAGCTCCTTGAAGGGATTACTGTCTTTTATTGATTTTAATAGCCATGTAAGTAGTACAGATCCCAGCATTTATTAAGTGCTTGAAAAAGGTTTTCTTTGAACTGAACTCTTACTTTAGACAAATACAATAATATAACCAAAAATTGCATTGACAAGAAATCACATTCACTTTTTTAATGGCACTGGTTTATACAGTTGACCCTTCAACAATTTGGGTTTTGGGGTGCTGACCCTCCACACAATTGAACATTCATGTATAGCTTTACAGTTGGTCCTCCATTTCACAGTTCCACATCTGCACAGTCAGCCAACCACAGGATGTTTAGGACATATGTAGTGGAAAAATCCACCTTTATTTGGACCCATGCAACTCAAACCTGTGTTGTTGAAGGGTTCACTGTATTTACCTTTTTATTTTCACATAAGTACTTATTTGTCCAATCTTTTACACTTGATTTCCTTGTCTAAATGGAATATTTATATTTATGATAATTTGGACCAATTATTTTTGTCCACACATATTTTTTAAAAGTTATTTATGCAAACTAATGATAAAAATACTGAACAATTTTTGATGTATCTGCAGGTTATATTGTTTATTAAACAAGTTTACATATAGAAATTTTACAGTGAAATTAGAGAATCAGTTTAATTTTTATTATAAATGATATTTACTATAAGAAAAGAGAAGCTTGAACAACTTACTTTGTTACAACTGCTTATAAGATAGGATGGAGATTTTGCAATCTTATTAAATAAAACTAATTAGCCTTGTAATAGTCATTGAGTTCTTTTTTTGCTATGATAAAGTTATGTGATTGTAGTCAAATTGGCATTTGCAATTTTTTGTGTGTAAATGTGCTCAGCATTAATTTTATCTACAAAACTGACAATGTACATTGTGTCTTTTTTTAATGACACATAAATACATTTCTTGTCCCCGATAGGAAAGATCATAATTGATACCAAACTCTACTGGCAGTTGTACTACTTAGAAATGGTTGACTAGTCTTTCTGCTGCTATACATTTGTATTCATGCTAAAATACAAATCACAATGCAGATGAGACGGCAGCAATTGTGACAGCAAATTAACAGGATGTCATGGATGGTGAGACCTGATTCTTATTTCCAGAGAATCAGCAGTGAGAGAAGCATCTTGAGGAACACTGCTAGAACTCACTCTGCATTGAAGACCAGGCTGGTAGTGATCCAGATGCTGCCAGACTCTGTCCAAGGCCTGAAAAATGGTTCCAAAATGAATCCTGAGATTTTATCATCTCTTAGATACGATAGAAGAGATGATAGAAGGGATTATAGGTGAAGTGCTGCTTCAACCCTAAATCTCTAAATCCACACTCAGATTGATAAGACTATCCCTTGAGCTAATCACAAGCTACCGGAACTGTGAAATGAGTGCTAGAGATGCAACTGGTTACTTGCACATTTTTCATTTCTTCAATATGGGTATTGTTACTGTTCCATCCACAAATGTATAATCTAGCATAGCAACCATAAGTCCCTTTAACCTTTCCTTTCCTTGTATAGTAATTGAAGGATTTAAAAAAAAGCATAAATTTGGCATTTGAGCAAATAATATGTATTCAGTAAATATTTGTTGAATGAGTGACTCCCAAACATGTTGGTGGAATTCTCTGATTATAAGGAATTTTGTTTGTAGAGTTTTAAAATGTAGCTCTCTTTCCTGTTTCTAGTTTTTGCTTCTCTAGCAATGCATTATTTCTCACTAAGTCCTTAAAGTATGGCTCTTTTTAAGGCACAGGCTGGAGATACAGGAACTGTCTTTCTCTGTTAGTATAGCCATGGTATTGCTTCCTAACTCTGGTTAATAGAAAAATAGAGAGTTTAAAAGTCCCAACTCCTGTTTTACTTGTTTGTTCTTTATCGCCTCTCTTCCTAAAAGTCATTCTTTTTCATTTTTATTGTAGCCACACTCTAGTGGATTGAATAGTCAGTTTTAGAAGGTGTAAATTTATTTTTTTCTCAAAGATGTCAACATAATTGGGCATTTTAATCATTAGTAGTTTATATAGACTTCTTTTGTATGTATTATTCTTAGTAGTGAGTTCACAATATTAAATACTCTAGTACTTTCTTTCTGGTCTTGGGTGATGAATAAGTTATGTCTATACTGTGTAATTTTGGTGATTTTTAAACCTAGTTAACTTTAGAAACTTGGTTCAGAAATCTTGTTAATCACTGATACAATACAGCTGCATAGATAAATGGATATTTTGCTGTATAGATACTTACTGATGGTTAACTATGTCTATTAGGAACAAGAGTTTGTTCAGAAGCAACAACAAGAATTAGATGGCTCTCTGAAAAAGATCATCCAACAGCAGAAGGCAGAGTTAGCCAATATTGAAAGAGAGTGCCTGAATAACAAGCAACAGCTCATGAGAGGTATATGAAATATGTGGCATATGTATATACATAATATGTTTTGAAACATTGCAGAGATATACCTTGGAAACTATTTGAATGCTTTTTTTTGCTGGAGTGGTAGAGGGAAAAATAGAAAGGTAAATAAGAGGAAAATATTTTATAAGATTCAGATCTACTGCAAGACATAGAATTCCTTTATGGCAATAGAAATGAACAATAGAAGTGAAGTAAACATATAATCCCTAAAACATCTTTTTGTCCAGGTGATGCTAGAAATACACCAGAGTAATTTTATGTGCTCCTTATACCCTGTAATGGTATACTTAAATGGCTACATGATAGAATGGAATTTTAAGCACTTATTTCCTCGAACAAATACCTTGGCTATTTTTTCTTTCTCACTGAGATGATTAAATGGAATTTTAGTGTTGGGAGTGGGGCATTCTTTGTTTACAGGACATTAGAACAGAATGGGAAGTGGTTACGGATATTATCTTTACATTGGTAATATTTCTTTTATAGCTCAGAACGTCTGTGTGTATTAATTAGTGTATTAGGACACTTATGTAAATATTAAAACAAGGACCAGAGTACATTAGTGAAAAGAGCAAAGTGACATTTTGAAAATTACTTTCTCCTTCCAGCTCGAGAAGCTGCAATTTGGGAGCTTGAAGAACGACACTTACAAGAAAAACACCAACTGCTCAAACAGCAACTCAAAGATCAGTATTTTATGCAGAGACACCAGCTACTTAAGCGACATGAGAAGGTTAATGAAAGGAAATTTGTTCACTTTTTTGTTCATTTTAAAGTTTGAAGAGCTGTTTATTTTTGAAACTTATATTTTTTACAGAATAAGTTTTATCCTTTCTTTCTTTTGTCCTAAAATTTCTTTGATGAAATCTGAAGTAATTAATTATATGTTGATCATTATTACAAACTTCCTTTCTACAGATTCCAAGAAAGGTAACTAATAAACAGTGCTTAAAGACCTGTTACACATTATAGTCTTCATCTTGTCTCTCAAAGGTAGCTATTTTGGCTCCTTTTATGATTCAGATATCTAAAAAATGTAGACTCCCTGTATTTAGTATAAGAAAGTCAGCATAAGACTCTTATTACTATTAGCTTTATTTTTCTTATAAATTTCCTTTTTTTTTTTTTTTTTTTGCCTAATGCTTTGCTGATCAGTATGTAACAAGGGAGAGGATAATTTGGGGAACAACAGCAAAATGACATGTTTGAGCATACTTGTGGGTACTGGGTATTAAATTATGTCTATATCACTGGTTTCTGAAACTTTCTTAGGAAACAGAACAAATGCAGCGTTACAATCAACGACTTATTGAGGAGTTGAAAAACAGACAGACTCAAGAAAGAGCAAGACTGCCTAAGATTCAGCGTAGCGAAGCCAAGACTCGAATGGCCATGTTTAAGAAGAGTTTGAGAATTAACTCAACAGCAACGCCAGATCAGGACCGTGACAAAATTAAACAAGTAAATAAGCAGATTGCTCTCTTCTTTTTTTAGGTGTAGAAGTTTTGGATGGTCTTTAGAAGTCCCACATAATTGTGTTGTAAACATTGGAGCCACTTGGGGCTTGTTGATGTTCACCATTGCTCTGTACACACATGGTGTGTCCTAGCTCACTCTCCTCCAGTGCTGGCCACAGAGGGCTGCTGTCTCCCATGCCCCACACAAGATCCAGGGCTAGGTTGATCCTAAGACCGGCCCTGGGAATAAGGTGATTTGACCAGCTTTACAGTCAAACATACAGCCTCACTGTACTTCTGTAGGCACAGTTCCTACACACAGATTAACTGAGGTCACTAAGCAGATGGGAGAAACAAGGTTTGAATCAGAAATCTCTCCCCACCTCCCTACCCCCACCAAAGCCATGATGTAGACTCCAGCTTTGAGTCCTAGCATATTATTACTTGTAGCTTTAGTTTATTGTACTTTAAGCTTTGTTAAATTCCTTAATTACACCTTTGGAAGATGCAGAAATTACATTGCCTATTAACCATATTTATCTTTTGTTTTTCTTTTTTATAGTTTGCTTCTCAAGAAGAAAAGAGGCAGAAAAATGAGAGAATGGCTCAGCATCAAAAACATGAAAATCAAATGCGGGATCTTCAGCTGCAGTGTGAAGCCAACGTTCGCGAGCTGCATCAGCTGCAGGTCAGTTCCAGAAGCCAGAAAGCAGAGCTGGTAGCAGAGACGCAGCACCGGTGGCTGGTTTTGAGGAGGTGATAGGTACTCACAGTAAGCCGCACGTAGCTTGAGAAGATGCCAGGACTTAAGGGTTTTCTTTCCTCTGTAGACCCAAAGGAAGATCAGTTTAGTATCACTGGCACCTGTTGAGATTTTCTATAGCCATGATTAGTATAAACATGAAGCTAATTTATGATATAAGAAGTTGCATCTTTCAAAAGTACTGTTGAGAATTTGTAGTATATTTTGCAAAGAAGATGAACAAAGTTTTGAAAATGGTGTAGACTGTTTTGTTATGTTCTGAATTTTAAAATTCTTTTTATTTCAGGATAAATAGTTCATTTTCTTCAAGGTTTTTTTAAAAAGTGATAAATAAATGAGAAATTTTCTCCTTATATATAATGTCTAAAATGTTTACAATTTCAGAGTAGTGTATATACATTGTGGATATCGTGTATACTTGCTTAATTTTCTAGAGCAGAAAATAGTTTCTGATCCTGTGTTCTGGTACCATTGGATAAAATGCTTGCAGGGTGCCTTTTGAAGTGTCAGTTTTGTGAGCAAACCTTAGAATGAAAAATCAGGATCAAACTAGTTCTTTCTAGTCAAGTTCTTTTTATATGGTAAGTAACAGATCTAGCCTCTAAACTTGCAAAAGTGAAACTATGACTCATTTCATAATTCTTGGTCCTTGGTTGTTAGAAGAGAATTTCAACCTCAGTAATTGCTTTATGTTTGAATATATATATTTTTTATTTTGGAAGATAACTGTATTTGTGAAAAATTGCTAACATGATCTGAAATTTTTTAAATTCAAACTTTCTTTTCAGAATGAAAAATGTCACCTCTTGGTTGAACATGAGACTCAGAAACTAAAGGAGTTAGATGAGGAACACAGCCAAGAGTTAAAGGAATGGAGGGAGAAATTGCGACCTAGGAAGAAGGTACTTTTAAAAGCTTTAAATAAAATACACTTGCATTCATCCATGCCGCCGTCCTCCTGGCTGTTGACTCTTTACCTAGTATGTGTCAGGGACAGGAGACACAGAGATGAGGAGTCCAGGCCCCAAAGGTTCAGAATCTAGTTGACGCGCAGCTGCAGATCACTAGGAGTGTTTCTCTGAAGGAGGGAAGTGCACGTGCAGAGTGGAGTAGCACAGTGTTCCAGCCACAGAGGAGGAATATGTCCATCTGCCCGGGGAAGGCAGGAAGCGTCAGAGAGGAGATGCCCTGTGAGCCAAACGAAGCTTGATGGATGAGCAAGCGCTTGCTGGGCGGACAGACAGATTGGAGTGGGATGGGGCAGTGTAAGTACACAGAAGAGAAAGAGTGAAAGTGATGTGCACAGGAATCATATGTAGCTCCCTTCATGGTAGGGTGAGAGGGAGTGTGTGCCTGTGTGTAGGCATTAGGGAGAGAAGGAAGGGATGACAGCTTAGTCTGGATGGGTGAACTGGAGCCAGATTATAAGGCCCTTGGGTGCTGTGTTCATTGACAGTCTAGTAAAGTAAGAAAGGCTTCCTACCCCACAGCCAGCCATCTTCCTTATGTGCACTTGACTCCCTGCTAGCCTGGCCCAACTGGTCAACCATTTGAACTCTGTCTTTTCTATTCCTTATATGATTCTTAGCTTTCAAACTTAAACCTTTGTTTTCTCTTGGGCTTCCTGCCTGCTATACATTTCAACCATTCCTTTCTTCCATTCATCCAGTCAGTTAATCAAGGAAATAATATTTAGCTCCTATCATGTGCTAATAAAACTTTCTAGAACTGACCGAGTCAGCTGATAGTGTGGCTTTTTAACTTGGATTTTGTTTATTGTTACATTTTTGAATAGGTAGTACATTCATGTGTTTCTGAACTCAAAGGGTACACACAGGGATGAAAGTGAGAAGTCCCTTCTCCAGTTCCTCCTTTCACCTTTTGAAGTCTAGCTTTCGCTTTAAATTCCTCTCCAGTTGAACTGGTTGACAGTGATCATAGTCCAGTGGCATTATCCACCTGTTATTCTTAAAAGTTCTCACCTGACTTTTGTGACATAGTCTCTTCTTTCTCTGTGCTTTTTTTTGGTCACTTTTCTTTGTCATCCAGTCACCTGAAAGGTACACATTTCCCATTTTGCATTCTTACCTCTGCTCTTTGCATGATGACCTTATAGATTGTCCTGGCTTCAGCTATTGCATATTTAAGGACAATTCCAAAACTTGTGTAGAATACAAATTCTAAAGTGATACAAGTCTGGGTTCAAGTCTCAATGCTGACACTGATTAATTTCGTCTCAACACTTCTGAGCCCTGTTTTCCTCATGTGTAAAATGAGGATATTACTGCCTCCCTAATTGGTGGTGTTAAGACAGTAAATAGAAGCTATGTGTGTACAGTACTTGTCAGTTCTTGTACAGTACTTAAGATTTGGTCAGGATCCAGTGAATGTTTGTTATTGCTATAATTTTATTGTTTTTATTATTGGTTCATGCTCCCAGTTCCCATGTCCCATCTGAATGTCCCATTCCTCCTCATTTTATTCTTTCTGTTCCGTTATCATCTCATCAGAGGTTTCTTTTTTTGATGACACTGTATAAAATAGCTTTAGCGCCCACCTTGAGCACTCCTGTGTCCCCTCACCTTTCTTTGTTTTTCTTCATGGTATTTATCAACACCAGACATTTGTCTTTATTGTTTGTCTTCTCTGACCAGAACGTAGCTCTTGAGGGCAGGGGCATCATATCTTTGTTCACTCTTACGCAGCTTCTGGAACAGTTCCTGCACATTGTAAATGATGAGTACATGCCTGCTGAACATTATTCAATGTTGACTAAAGATTGTAAATTCAGTGGAGGTAAAACTAAACTCAGTAACTCTTTTCGTTCATCTCTATCTCACCTTTCCCCTCTCTCCAGTCCTACCCACCTTCAGGTGTTCTTTGCAGTATTCCTGTTCTCTTAACTGACATCTAGGCTAGAAACCTGAATTATCTTTCATTCCCATCAGATCCCACATCAGTCAGATAACGAATAATTTGGACTCTCATTTCATCATCTTTCCCTTTGCTGTCTTCCTTCTTAAAATTGTTAGTAATGTCCTAATGACCCGTCTAGTCTCTTGTTCCCTTTCCTCTCTTCTTCTTTGCCTGCCGTCACCAGTGTTTATCCTCAGGAGCATCTCTGATGCTGTCATAGTGGTGCTGGTAAATCTTTAGTTTCATCAGAACAGAATATAAATACCTGACTTGGATTCTGAAGCCTTCACGGTGCCACACTTGGGCCACCTTAGCCCTCTGACTTGTCTCCCACTCACCGCTTAGTTCCCAGCTCCTGATCCAGTACTGGGTGTAATCACCATTACTCACAGCAGCTCCAGTTTCCTGCCTCTGCATTGTTTCAGCTCACTCTCCCTGGGGTGTCTTCCCCATCCTGTCTTGTCAGATTCTTACCTTCCCACTGAAACTAAGCTCACAGTTCTCCTCTTCTGAGAGACTTTCCCGTGTCCTTCCATCTCTTCCTGTACTTTGTTTTCTGCAGCAGGACTTCTCCTGAGTCACCTGTCCACAGAGTAACTGATACCCGCAGATACTTAGCAAGTACTTAATATAGTTGTTCCATACTGTGTATGGAGATGAATCTGGCTTAGGTCTTACCTTCAATCTGTGGTTCAGTGTGGAAGAGAAGACATGCATATCAGTAATCAAAATAAAAAGTAGAAAATGCTGAAGTTCCATGTGGAAGAGACAGATAGTAGGTAATAATAGATGCCATCTGTTGAGTGCCTAATGTGGGTTAAGCACATTATTAACACATTTAATCCTCACATAACAACCCAGTGAGGTGGATGGTGTTACCACTGTCTCACAGCAGAAGAAGGAAGTGGTTCTGTAATATAGAGGAGTAACTGAAGTCTCGTGTGGCTGAGCTGAGACTTGAACCCAGAGCTGCGCAGCTGCTCCTAGCTGTTGAACAGTGTCTTCTTTGTTAGGATAACATACAAAGACTTTGGGGCAAATAATTTTATCTTGACTGTTTCAGAGTAAATTCTGTTCATAATACTAGTGCATAATTTCTTTTTCCCTTCCTTTTTAAGACCCTGGAAGAAGAGTTTGCTAGGAAGCTACAGGAACAGGAAGTGTTCTTTAAAATGACTGGGGAGTCTGAATGCCTTAACCCATCGACACAGAGCCGGATTTCCAAATTCTACCCTATTCCTAGCTTGCATTCCACTGGATCATAACAATGGGAAGCATGCTGTGGTTGGGTTTGACTCTTTAAGTACGTCATTCTGTTCTCTTCGTCTTTAGCCATAGTCTATCAGAGAGCTCACGAAGACAATCACCTGCCTCACCTTCTAGGTGTTTTTTGTTTGTTTTACTTGTTTAGTAACGATGAAGGGAAAGGAACTAAGACAGATGCTGGGCCATGTTGGCAAAGTAGCATCTTGCAGTAATTCCCTAAGGTGATTTTTGTATATACTCTTAAAAATCGTGTTATTTAGATACTGTTACCTGAAAGTTATTTAAAGAAAACTGTTACGTCATTTAAGTATTAGTAAATATCTTTTTACATGACTTAACTTCTCAGTGATGTCTAAAATCAATCATTGAAGCTCTCTACACTGTGGAGAATTGGAATAATTTTTTGGTGAATTAGCTCTCATGAAAAAATTTTGAATTCAAAATATATTGATTCAGTAAATAAATCTATTATCTTTAAATGTTAGCATTGGACTCTTTTAAAAGAGAAAAATTATTTCAGTAATTTGTCTAAAATAATTACTTGTTTAGACATAAACTAATAATTAAGGGTGCTAGCTTTATTATATAAAATAGTGCCTAAAACACTAAATTTCAATTCAGTCTAAAATAGCATTTCCTCCTTTTGATTCAACAGGGACAAAATACTCTTAGCATTAAGCATTATTGTTTTTTAAACCTTGCTCATATTACCATTTGATAGAAATTCTCATCCTAAAGTACAAGTTGGAAAGATGAAAAAATAAAAGGTAGCTTTTAGATGTCCAAATTGAACATATAAAACTCACCAAATTAAAAAAATATAGATTTAGCTATCTCAGCTTATTTCCTGAAGTAATAAATGAGCTGGTTAAATGGCTTCTCCCATCTTAGTAAATTCTGTTTAAAATTCTGTCATAGGCCAGCAGGCTCTGAGTTATATTTATGAATGTATTTTTCTGAAATTAATCTCAAAAGAGGCATTTGTTCAGAGTAATTTTGAAGGAAGAATTTAAATAAAATATCTAGGCAAATACCAGAAATGACTTTTTATTGTTTCGAGATAAAGTCATTCATATTTTGGTTTGGTTTTGTTCCATGTTTAAATTATTTACATGATTTGAGTGGGAAAGTCCTGAAACCTTTATCCTGTGGTTGCTTGATATGTGTAATTATTAATGAAATGTTCACTAGTCCCTCTTGAGGGTTAGATTTTCAAGCACGTGTCAGGTCAAACAGTATTACAAACCATATTTTGAGGTTGTGAGACAGCACATTTGTAGATGAAGCTTGCTGCCTGCCGTTTGCAGCCTATTAATGAGTGCTAGGTACCAAATTGTAGAAATTTCAGTTTTTAGTTATGTTACAGTTGAGGCTGGTGAAAAATGCAGATGCAACTTTGTGGGAACACTGATTCATGTTAAGAAAATGTAAATAGCTGTAGCACTTTCTTACAGTTAATTTGAAAACTTTGAATGCTGAACCTTATTTTGTCAGTGGTTTATAGATGATTTAAAAATGCATGTGATTTTAATTTTGTAATTGTTTTGACAAGCATTATTTACTTGGACAACTTTGTAGGTAGCCTTAACTTCTGGCCAGGTTTGTTTTTTATATAAATATATATACATATATATATTATGTATGGTTGTAAATTCATACACTTATCACATGAATGTGTTACTGTATACAAAACTTTTAATGCTTTATTCTCAAATGCTGGACTGAAAAATGTTTTGAAAGCCTTTTAAAAAATATATATATATATATCTTTATAATGTTCAGGATGATGGAAATTGTTTATATTGTTATGATAGAAATGACAGTATAATGTTACCCAGTGTATTTAATGATTTATTTGAAGGAGAGGAAGAAGGTTCTCATACCACTTCCTCCTTTGAGATTTTCAGTATATTGACTTTTTAAAAATTAATACTTCAGGCAGTAGACATTTTTTCAGTATCATTTAAGTGATATCCTATGTGATGAATAGCTTCTGGCCCATAGTTAATTTGGTCTGAATATTTGGGTTTTTGTAATACCTTTCAACTTGACATTCAGAGAATTGAATAAAGGAAAGAGGCTCAGAGTAGAAGGATTGACACTCTGGTAAGTTTATTAGCAGCTTTTGCATCTCTGTAGAATTACCCTTTGGATTCCTTGTTCACACTCAAGTTCTCTTTCAAATGTGACCAGACCATATTTGTGTGGGAGCAGGACTACAGAGTGATACATGTACAGGTAAAACCTTCATTTTAATACTTGGAGTCACATAAATCTTCTCAAAGAGTGTTTTGTTGTAGACCGTGCTATTTGTGCCCAGCCCTGCCCACTCCCTGCTAGGCCCTGAATTCACATACAGAAGAGTGGTCTTTCTCTCTTGCATGAAGTGTACATAGGGGGTTGGGGAGAGGCAAAGACACCTTTGAAATCAAAGAGCACAGTCTAATCCATTCCTGACCTGATGGTTTTGTTGCTGTGGCAGAATGTGCTAGGAAGCGCGTCACAGCAGTTCTCCGTACTGCCGTGTCGGTCCTCAGCCTCCCCTGTCCCTGCGTGCTGCGGGCGTGCTGGCCACCACCCTTCTGCAGGTCTAGCTCACGCAGCTCGTTGCACCAGGTTGCCTTTCCTAGTCCTGTCAGGCCGTGGGTGGGTGTGAATTGCTGAATTAGCTGCTATAACTCTATGGAGTCAGTTAAGCTTTTTCTTACTCTTTTCTGTGGGGAAGCTATAGGGTGGGTAAAGAGGAAATTTGGAGTGCTCATACCTTGCTGAAAATGTTAAAACTTCCCTGTGACAGGATACAGCAAATTGTAATTAAATATAAACTAGAACCAGAGCTACCTCTAAGGAGTGTTTCCTCAAGCACAAAGCTCTCAGGCATATGAGACTCACTGTCACAGAGGGCCTCTGATTTCTTGAGCGTCAGTGAGTTTCAGAAGTGACTGTCCTTTTGTACTCTCCTAGTTCCCTTGTAACTACAGTTTTCCCCATTCCACACTGTGCTTAAATGACAAAGACTCTTCTGAAAAGCCGATTTCTGTCAAATGATTAGCTCGAGGTACTGTTGACTAAAGGAAAATGTAAAACTGAGGTGGAGGTGGAGAGCTCTTTAGTTCCAGTTCTAATAGACTTCTGATTGAATAAATCCATTCTTTTCTGGGAAATGATCTTTTATAGGAAATGGGATGTTTTAAATGCTTTTTTTTAAGTTGAAGGCACAACAATTAATGCCACTCTTGTTGCTACCCTGTGGCTGACATGGTTTTGATATAGCTTTAAAACTTCTGCTACTCAGCTGGGGGTAGAGTGTTATACCAGTGTTAAATGTTGGCTGTAGCTTTTTGTGATCCTTCTCTGATTTGCAGTGTAATAACTCCACAAGCTACATTTTTCAGAAAGAATTTTGTTTCAGAAAATGCCTCTTGTTTGTCTGGGAGCAACATGTCTTTTCAATCACGGGATTGACAAATGAAAAATAAAGTTATTTCTTAATCTACTTTGGGAAGCAGTCTTTTATTGAGACTCTTTGAAACTAGATTGTCCTGCGTGAGAATGTTTTGTAGCAGTTTTAAGAATCCTAACTGTATTTTAAAGCTTGCAGTTCTCCAGATCGTCTGACCCGGACAATCAGAAGTACCATTGTTCCAGACTGTCTGTACTTAGCACACACGAGTGTCCTTTTCACTGCTAACTTGGAGGGGGTGTCTTTGTCAAGCAATCCCCTCCTTTGAGTGGTGCTTAAAATATTTCCATCAACATATGTGTATATATATATACCTCTCTTTTAATGTTCTTTTTTTTCCCTTGAAATAGATTATTTTTCTCAAACATTTCACAAACCATATGACTCATTTCTGCTAAAAAGAACCTGTTTTTTCCATCACTAATATGTCACGTGAGATTCAGTATACATTAGGCAACATCATCTGGCGAGTGGTCAGCTTGGCCGGAGGGACATGCCGTGTGTCATTTTCTAACCCAGGAGCATTGCATACTGCAGAACTCATGCTTGACTTTTTTTTTTTTTAATGAAACAAAAGAGGCTAAGACCCACTGCCATCCCGCTGAGGACATCTCTCACATCTGAGTTCTGTTCAGAGAAGTTAGCAGTTTGGGACTTTTACCCTATTTCTCTTGGGTGTCAGATTCTGTGAAGACTTTTGGATAGCTTGGATGGGTAAATCTCAACTAGGAAAGAACTCAAAAAAAAGTTTGGTTAATCAAGATAAGAATCATTAATGGGGCTATGAATACTTGAGCTTCTAAGGCTACTATGACAAAAACAAATCAAGTCAAGCCTTTAGGTAAAACTAAAATATGAAAAAGGCATGATGCAGTCATTCATTAGGCATAGTAAGTTTTCATTAGTAAAATGTCAAACTTATTAAACCAAAAACTATTTTCTTTTCCTCCTTCCCTTTCTCCCCCCCCCCCCCCCCCGCCTTTATTTATTTTTTGGTTAGATAGATCACATTAAAACATAATGTTAAAAAAGAAAAAAGCCCTTTAATTGGAGATTTTGCAATTGAAATGACTCTTCATCTAACAGACCACATAAATGTTTATAGACATTGAAAAGTGCTTTCAAACCAACTGCACCCAGTCCCCCACGCGTTTCCTAAGTGCAGAGCAGGGGTGCTGGCTTCCCCGTCAGGCAGTCTGCTCTCCCTGCCCTCCCCTTCTTTCCTCTTTGCCCTTCTCTTCCTGTCTGCCACAACCTAGTTCAGTGTAACATGCTATATCAGCTCTAGTGTGGACCTACGGGACCGCATAGCTGCACTCAAACAAACTTCCTAAGTAAGTGGAAACGTGATGCACAGTGAGAAATAACTAGTAGAAACCCTGTCACCGCCTTCAAGGGAAGTAGATTTCTTAATTTTTTCAGTTGCGAGAGTTACTTCTCAACCAGCTGTTTCTGTTTGTTACGACTAGAGAATGCAGGGTAAAGAGGAGAGGGAGCAGCTGGGAGCACAGCCCTGTAGCATTAGCCAAAACAGCCCCCTCGAGTGGTACCCCAATCCCATCTTCCAGTTTCTGGGCTTGTTTTTAAAGAAAAGCTCAAGGGCTCCTGAAACAGCTTTTATGTATCTGGCTTTCCTAGGCTGGTGTTAAAAGAAGCCAACGCGCTCGGGCATGGACAACAGGGAGACCGGCCTCATCCTGCAACACTGCAAGTGGCCACTCCTGAGTCCACCCCGTGAAGCTGTCTCAGACTGTATCTTGGACTGAATTCTGCAGACATACACATTGTCCCAGACTAAGATAAGGGTTCTAGTTGACTATTTGCTGTGTTGGTAAGGCAGTAAGACTCCAGCTTTTACCCTCTGGAGAGGTCTTGACATAAGTGCCATAAGCCACTGCAAGAACTGGTCCAGGGGGCTGTTCCACCATGGGTTGCTTATGGCTTGACGGCAATGCTCCTCCTCCTCCGCCCAGTGTAGACTTGGTCACCTAGAAGTGGGACGGTGAGCAGGAAGTTAGAAAATGTCTTGCAGTCTGTGGGGACTTTCTCTTGGGTAATCACAGCAACTGTGACCACTGCAAAACTGGCTTGAAAGAAGAGCTGTTCTGTAAGACTTATCAATTGATTTAAATGGATTACCCCATTTCATTACCAGCCTGGTTTTCCTTCTCCTCCTTGCACTGACAACCCTCCTTCCTTTCCCCCTGGTGGTTCACTTGATTGTTACACAATTGACATTGTTGGCAGTGTCTCCTTTAATAACTGGCAATTGTCTAAAATTTTTAGGCTTGCTGTGGAACATGCAGCCTGTCTCTCAGTCCTCCAGAAACCCAAACTATAGCTGTGAGCCTTACCTTTGTCTCCTTTTTCTCCCTTGTGCCCTCGAGGGCCGGGTGGCCCAGACCGACCTGGTGGCCCAGCAGGGCCCCTCTCACCTAGGAGGACAGGGGGGCACGGCTAAGTGGGGGCACAGCACAGGTCTGCGCCCCACAGGAGGAGCTGCGCACACCCCCNGGGGGGGGGGGGGGGGGGGGGGGGGGGGGGGGGGGGGGGGGGGGGGGGGGGGCATGGTGGTTCCACAGGTGGCTGCTTCTGCCACCACTTACCTTTGGGTCCAGGGATGCCCATCTCTCCCTTCTGCCCAGGGGGTCCTGGGATGGCTCCATAAGCTGCAAGGGGGAGAATCGGGCCTTAGACTAGAGATCACCCTGGAGCTTCGCAAGTAAAGTGATTTGTCCATAGTGGTAGAGTTTGGACTTGTAACAGGAAAACAAAGTTTAGAATTTATCAGCTTTTTAGCATCTCAAGTGTTAACGAGGTTTCTTTGGACTCTGGTTTATGAGACTGTGCAGCAAGGTAAGTCTGGGGAAGGTAATGGGGGCTGCCCTTACTTCGGAAAAAGTCCATGAGGTCCTCGGTCACATTGCTGTAGGCGGAGAAGATCTTGCTGATGCCAGGGGGCCCCTGGGGCCCAGGCCGGCCTGGGGGGCCCTGCACCGTGTAGGCCATCCCTTGGAGCAGACCCTGACCTGTGAAACGCAGAGTGTGGTGGGCACGGGGAGCCGGGGCCACTGGCCCCTCTTCAAGGTGGGAGCACAGGGCCCTCTGACTGACTCCCAGTGCAGTTTTGACTCTTACGCAGCAGCGAGGAAAGAGCCCTGCAACTTTTGTCTCCCCTGTTGATGGGCAGGTCTCCACCTCCAAGGGCTTATATCACAGGCCTTTTACAACAGGTAGTTGTATTGGTGAGCCACAGGGGGAAAGGGCTTAGCCAACAGCCTTCCCTCAGCCCCCCTCCATAGTCATAGACTCTCCTGAGAAGCACAAGTAAGAAGGGGAAACGAAGGGCCCCCAGCTCCTCTGTCCCTGCAGCACAGGTTGCAGTACTGAGTGGGCCGCTTGAACTAAGCTTGTCCTCAGACCCCGCCCATCTGATGCCAGGACTGCTGTCCTCCTGAGTGTGGAGGTGCTCTCATGCTCCCAACCCCACAGCGCTGAGGCTTTGTGTCCCCACTTACGCTGCAAGCTCTCTGACACCCGAACTGCCAGCTCGTTGTAATCCAGACCGCCGACAAAGCCAGCCCCGAATCTGCCATCGCCGCCATACATGCCACCCTCGGCCGCGGCCCCATAGCCTCGGCCCATGTCCATGCCAAAGGCTCCCCCTTCACCCAGGGAGCCTCCACTGGCTCCTCCTATGCCCATGGAGGAGCTGTAGGAGGTGTCCCGACTGAAAGAGGAGGAGCTGCCACTCCGGCTGTAGGAGCTGTCCGTGGACACCAGGCGGCTGTCCCCGGGGGGGCCCTGGGGCCCAGGGGGGCCCGGAGGGCCAACGATGAAGCTGCGCACATCAGGACCTGTGGGGAGGAAGTGGCATTACTGGGAGCCGGGTCTGGGGGAGAGGAAGAAGTGGGAATTGGGGGAAGGGGCGTGGTTCTTGACACCCTTTAGCAGGATGTGAACTCGCACCGAGTGGAGTGTGGGCTGGGAAGAAGATGGACTTCTCCTGCTGGGGTGGCTAAGGTGTTCAGCCTCCAGGCCCTTCAAACCCTGGTCACCCTCTCACAGAGAGAAGCCCGGACTGGGAGGGGACAGAGGAGGGACAGGGACGTCAGGGTCACCTACTTGTGAGATAGCTGATCAGCTCACTCCTGAAGCTGTCACTGTTTTCAGCTGCATATGTCGCCAGAGCGCCTGAGATTCCTGGGGGCCCTCTAGGGCCTGGGGGGCCTGGGGGACCAGGAGGGCCTGGGATGGATGACAAGCCAGCAGCTGAGCAGGAAGCAAGAGACAAGAGAAGGATCAGGAATCCATCGCTAGGACCACTGAATTCCCAGCCTGGGCCCCTCTAGAAGGAGGCAGAGGGAGACCCGCACACACGTGTCCTGGCTTCCTCTGGAGTGAATGCTCCCCACTGCCCTCCACCCCCAGTCCCAAGCCTCATTCAACCCACATCACATCCCCTCCCCCAGCTCTTATGGGACTCGGAGCTCTCAGCTGGGCACCTGGTCACCTGCATGCAGGGCTGAGAGCACCTTGCCTGCCTCACTCCTTACTTTGCAGGTAGGATGAGAGGTTCTCCATGCTGATGCTGGACCATGAACTGCCTGGGAGCCCTGGGGGCCCAGGAGGACCTGGGGGCCCAATAATACCTCTGAATTCAGACCCTGGGACACCAAGGAAGAGCAAGGATCAGTTAGGCCTGGGCCTAACTGGTGGAGGGTCTCTGCCCTCCACCCTGAAGCACTTGATCAGATGGCCCTGATCAGCCTTACCTTGGAGCAAGGAGAGGAGCTCCTCATAGGATGTGCCCGGCAAGCCTGGAGGCCCCGGGGGGCCAGGAAGCCCGATGCTGACTCCAGTGCCTGAGGAACGAAATCCCAAGTTGTGATGGATGCAGGTCAGGCAGGGAAGGGAGGGTGGAAACATCATGTCAGAGAGGAAGCCAGATGGAAGCAACTTGAACAGAAGTAGGGGCCGGGAAAGGGGTGAGAGGGGCAGTAGGGAGAGACTGGCAGAGACACAGATGTGAGATCCTGGGTAAGGACACCGCGAGGAGGGACCCTGGGGCTGGAGAAGAATGCAGGTCAGCTCTCTACTGCTGGGCATGCGCATGTGTACATGCATGTAAAGGTGGGCGTGTGTCTAGAGAAGTGTGCATGTGAGTCGTGTGCACAGTCCTTGCAGAATGGTGCCCAGGGCACTCGCTCTGGCTTCCCTCGCCAGGCTTCGTGACTTGCTCTGGGGCACAGGTTTGAACCGCTCTGAATACCACCCCTCCTCTGGGTTGGGTGCAGCCTAGTGGGAGAGAGTCAGGGATGTCTAGCCCCTGCATGCCCACCCAGGCCCTCCTGCCCGCCTTGCCGGGGAGGCAGACACTCACTAGCCATGTAGCTGAGGATGCGGTTGCTCAGCTCTGCATAATCCAGAGACTGGAGGAACCAATCTCCACCGGCTCCTTGCGGCATCAGGTACTGCCGTAGATACTGACGCACGTCATCCCCTGAAAGCAGAAGAGGCGCCATGGACCACCGGCCAGCTTGGCCTCCTTGCAGACCGGCCTGAGTGACGTGTGAGCTGGGACATTGGCAAGCTGCCAGTAGCTGAAGGGACACCTGCTACACTCATCCTTCAGGGGAGATCCAACACCCTCTGTCCAGCCGACCACTGGAAGCGAAGCCCCGAGGGACCGCCAAGTGTGCCAATAAGTCAGCCAGGAGAGAGGGGCACCCTCCAGCCCCCCGCCCCCTGCTGTCCCCTCAGGCAACTCACGCCGGAGCGCAGCCAGGATGTCTTCAGAAGAGATGGAGGTGGAGGATGTGCTGATGCTGTACCCGGAAGCTGTGGGGAAGGAAACCAGGTCACCTGCTTCGCTGGTACTGAAGCAGTGCCCTCGTTACTCCAGAATCAAAGGCCTGGTCACCCAGCTGCTTCCTTTGGGGGGATATGAATGAATGGGGCATTGACAGGATATTTATAATTTCTATTTTTCTTAATCTGAACAAACCATTTTGGAAGCTAGATCCAGCAGCCTGATTATTATGAATTCAACATTGAACATCACATTCACAAAAAGGGCAAAGCAAACAGCAAATTAAGAGATGAGGCTCCAGGAATGACTGCGGACCTGGGAGGAGGCTTGTCATCACAGGGGTGGCAAGAGGCTTACTCTGTAAGTAGCTCACGACGAGGCTGGCCAGCTCTGAGTAGTCGAAAGTCTCACCGGTGATGGTGGTGACAGGCCCGGGGGGACCAGGTGGGCCTGGGGGACCCTGAACTCCAGACAGATAAGACCTGATACTGTCACCTGCCAACAAAGAAATCAAGTCAAACCAGTCCCCAAGAGGGCGTGTCTCCCCCCAAGAGGTGACCTGAGCACTTGACCCACGAGTGGGCCAAGGCAGGTCCAGCAGGGAGACTGGACTCCCCTTGTTACAGATGGAGAAACTGATGCAGAGTCCATGCTTGGCCAGGTGGCTCTCGAGGGCTGTGGGCCAGCAAGACCCCAGTCAGTGACACATCTGACCAAGCTCTGGTGCCCATATGTGTGGAAATCATGCCCTCACCTCCATGGAGTGCGCAGGGATGAGGTCTGGGGCATGCGCATGGGAGTGAATGTGTGTGTGTGTGTGTGTGTGTGTGTGCACATGGAAAAGTGTGTGGGTATATGAGCTTCTACCGGGGCTCTATGTCCATGTAGAAGTCTATGTGCGTGGGCAGGTATGAGAAGGTGGGAGTTGGGGAGCTCATGGACCTGCACTCCTAGCACACACCTGTGCACACACACACACACACATACACACGCATGCTGCCCCACTCAGATGTGGGACACTCACTCTGCATGTAGTCAGAGATGTATTGCTGAATCTCCAGGCCAGAGCTGCTGAGGGACCCTGGGGGCCCAGGGGGCCCTGGTGGGCCTGGTGGACCCTGCATGAACATGGTGCTTGACGACGATCCTCCTGCAGGAGAGAAGACCACTGAGTTGGTCTGTCCTCTCTGCGGTCAAACCAAGGAGCCCAGGCAGTGCTTTCACAGTCTGAGGAGGGACAGTCTTTCTCAGGAGAACCAGGACAGCGGCAAAGAGCTCCTAGGAGCTCTCCCAGGCTGAGTCCTCCCTTTCCTTCGACAACCTGTGCACTGCCCATACAACCCTCCTCGCCCCTGAACCCCTAGCTCCCGATCTCTGTTCTCGCCATCACTGTCATCGGCATTGTTAGTCGCCTTTATCGTGCAGGCATCCTTGTCTCCCACCCCTGCTAACTTGTAACCTCCTTAGGGGCAGTTCAGAATCTAGCATGTAGGGAAAGTACCTCATTTACACTGAATCATGGATTAGTGAATGATTTAGTTAATTAATACCCTTATTGGCACAATCAACCTCGCTTGAAGATGGGGAGAAGAATTTTGGGCACCTTGGGTTCTTACCTCGAGAGGGCCCACTAGGAATGCCAGGAGCCCCTGGGACTCCAGGATCACCTGGAATCCAAAACAAGAAGCTGTTTGCATCAGCTCCTCCAGGAAGCCTCCCCTGGTTAAGCTCAACCACACGATATCAGCTTGTGACTCAACAACTGTCCCATGTTTCTCAGTCTCATTTCTGCAATGATACCACAGCTTCCTTGGGCAGGGACTGTATCCCTCCAACCCCGTCCCTTTCTCCCTCCAGGCTCTCCTTCCTTCAGCCTCTTCTTCCTCCCACAGCTGGAGCACCAGCGAGTACTCCCTGCCCTCTCTTCAGGCTCTGGGAGCCAGCCTCGTTCCCACTTCCCACTGCCTTCACTGACCTTTGTCACCCTTGGGTCCCTGAGGGCCAGGTGGGCCTGGTGGTCCCTGCAGGTTGAGTCCAAGAGAACTGGAGCCTGGAGGCCAACAACACAGTGTAGTCAGCGGGTGGGAGTGGCTCCAGCAGAGCTGTCGGGGCGTGGTGGGGACGGCGGCGCTCAGCACTTACCTGAGCCTGAGAGCCCTGGGAGGCCTCGCTCACCTGAGGGACACAGCAGAGAGGGGACAGTCAGCTGTGCCCGCCTCCCTCTCCTCACGCCCCAGCCGAAGACACCACCTCCCTCCCGAGGCTCCCTAAGACTCACGACACGGCTGGGGCGGCACTGGCCCTCGGGCAGTACCTAGAGCTGCCGCAGACACATGTGCACACGTGCACACGCAGGCACACAATTCTCAATCACAGACACCCTCTGATCACTCATTTGGACCAAACCCCAGAAGCTCAGGGATCTCGGAAGGTCAGCCCCCGCCCCCTAGGATTGTTTGAGGCCAGTTCTCCTGTACCTTGGTGTCCTCGGGGGCCTGGGGGGCCTGGGGGAGAAAGCAGACAGTTGTGAGACAGGTCCCAGCCAGATGCTGCAACTTCAAGGGGCCCGAGTTGGGGGGGAGGTGTACAGGGCTCTGGGCGCAGAGCAGATGCAGGGCTTGGGGCTCCCCACACCTCTCCTCCAACAGGACAAGGCAGAAGCGGGTATGCTTTGCAGAGCTTCTGACCAACCCCCCGCCCCTGCTCCAGGCTGCTGAACTCCTAATGGGATGTGGCAGGAGAATGAAGACCTGCCTCGGCTCGTCCAGCCTTGTCCAAATTCCTCTGGCCACCAGCAGGCCAAACAGGGGCACACTGACTCCCGGGCCCCCTAAAACACTGCTCTCACCTTGATCTCCCTTGGGGCCTGGGGGCCCAGGTGGGCCTGGAGGGCCAGAGAAGAAGGTCTCTGTTGAGGGAACAAACAGCTTTGAGTGTGGATGCAATGATGTTTGTGAGGCATCAGCATCTAGAACAGCACCAGTCATTCTGTAGACGATCAACATTTCTCAAATGAATGGATGGATAGTTGGTTGGGAAGTTGGGTAGAAAAATACGTAAAAGTAAAGAAGGAATGAACAGCCTGGTACATGGATGGATGAATTTTCTTCTAGGGACAAGTTCTGGGCTAAAGTTTTCTCTAAACTTATTTCCATATGTTTCTATATTCTACTGTCAGCACTTATCTCATTTCATGAGCATGTGTCCTGCCTACTTTATCAGAACTGGACCCCCTGAGGACAGGAACTAGGTCTCTCCAGTCAGCCCAGAAGCTCCCCAAGGATAGATCAGCTGTCTCCCCCAGGTTAGGCTACCAGGGGCTCTCAGGGTGGCTCGGTTGACATCAGCACCCTCTTTCCATGCAGCAGGTAGCATGGTGTTTATGCAAACACATCCATGGTGGAAAGTCAGAAGGAGGAAGCATGGAGAGTAGGTCAGGAAGACCGCATGCCCATGACCACAGCATGTGCTGGGGTTGGGGCCAGGGCTGAGGTGGAGAACAGGAGTGATTTGACTCCCCAGCATTACCTGAGCTCGTCAGGAGAGATCCTGGCGGGCCTGGTGGGCCTGGCAAGCCTTCCCCTAGAAAAGAGAACCACCCGAGACTTGTTAATGCCAAGAGGTGGCCAGGAACCCTCTTCCCAGGAGGAGAAGCAGCAGAGAAGCTCTTTTCTAAGAACCAGCCGGGAAGCAGCCTGGGCTCTGGTCCCATTGTCTCCCACCTACCCCAGCTCTCACCTGCTGGGCCTTGGGGTCCCCGGGGGCCTGGAATGGATAGTCTTGTAGAAAAGGGTAAGGAAGAGGCAATGCTGAAGCCAGGATCTTGCTTTCTCACCAAGTGCCTTGTGCCCCTGCCCCGTCCCCAAGATTTCCCACCTTGCAAAGATCCCTGAGGTGCTCACCTGGTGGCCCAGGTGGTCCAGGTGGGCCTGGGGGACCTCGTAAATCAACACCCTCTGTGGAGAGAAGAAACCAGAAATGAGGAAAAGCTGTCATGAGACCGCTGTCTCTGCCAGCCTTACCCCTCACCAGGATCATCAGCAACTCTACTCACATCCCCACACCAGGTCATGGCCTGGGACCCTCCAAGACACCTCGGCTAGAGGTGTCTTTTGCCCTGAGCAGGGCGGGGCTGAGTGGAGCTCCCTGGTGGCTGATGCGGGTGTGGCAGTGATGAGTAGAAGCATGGCTTCGGTGTCAGATAGCCTGAGTTCAAATCCTGCCTCACCACTGCTGGCTTGTGACTTTGGGCAAGACCTTGAGCTCTTTCAGCCTCAGTTCCCTCTGCTGTAAATGAGAGGCCCAAGGCCTGTATCACCAGGGCCCTGCACAGACTCAGTGGGACACCAGGGCACAGCAGCAGGCACGTGGGGACTGCCGGACCAGGGCCGGCGCTGTCTTTGTTGTTAAGGTGTCCAGGAGGGGGCCCACAGCATCTCCGTCTGGGCTGTTTAAAGGATGAGCAACAGGAGGAGCCAGGAGTCAGCCCTGCCAGGCCGAGTCTGGGGCTGAGAACCCAGGGACCCCTGTGGCTGTTTTGGGAGGAGAGGTCCAGGGCTCCTTTCATCACACCCACAGGGCTGGGTGCAGACACCCCATGTGACCCTGGCCCTCCTGGAATCCGAAGAACCTCTCTGACAGCTGCGCCATCCACTGTGACTCATCTCCATGGCTGATAAAGCCCCTCTGTTTTCTCTCTCAGCTAGCTCTGCATCTCGGAGGAACCAGCCATCCTTACACTGGGGCTCATGATGACTCACGGGTGCAGCTGCCACAGGCACCCATGCACAGCCGTCTCCCCCACTCCCACCCCCGCGTCACCTGTCCCAGAGAACACGGTGGTACTCACGGGTGGACAGGACCTCAGAGATGGAGCTGCTGCTGCCCATGAATGATTCGCCAGCCAGGCCCGGCTCCCCTCGCGGGCCTGTGGGGAGGACACAGAGTTGGGGGTCACGGCTCTCAACAATCTGTCAGTGTGCGGCTGAGCTGAGGATGGGCAGAGCTGAGTCAAGTGTGGGTGGGGCCAGAGTGTTGGCTGGGAGCCAGAAACACCCCAAGAAGAAATGAAGAATCTGGAGCCAGACAGTATTTTGGATACAGTTTGGATATTTGGCTAAGTTGCTGGACAGTGACCTGATTCTCAGGATTCAGTCACAAGAAGCCTGAGGCCTGTGAAAATTGCTGAGCTTGATCCTGATGCAGGAGCCTCAATCTCCCTTTCTAGGGGACCCCTACCTCCTCAGAAACAAGGAAGGGGGTGGGAAGAGGTATCTCCTCTGGCTGCCGAGGCCTTGTAAGGGCCTTGTGATGAGCCAGGGGGACCCTACTGCCTCCCTTACCAGGATGCACCTCTCTCACTTCATTTAAAGAAGGGCACATTTCCACCCTGAGAAGGAAGCTCTCCCCGCAGCCTACGGTCATACATTCTTTCAGAGTGACACATACCTTGCTGTCCTGGGAGACCAGCTGGACCAACAGGGCCTGGAAATGGGGTTGGGGAAGAATAGGTTTTACCACAGGGCCTGGAAATGGGGTTGGGGAAGAATAGGTTTTACCACAGGGCTTGGAAATGGGGTTGGGGAAGAATAGGTTTTACCACGCCTTGAGGGTCAGAGTTCTAGAAGAACTGAAGAAAAGGCAGGTGCCTAGGTGCATAAGTAGCTTCCTCACAAGGCATGGAACAGTGGCCCAAAGTGGTCAGCTTACTTATTTGAAAGCAATAAGCAATTTGAGACCAGCCCTGTGATCTGTTCTGGTGAGAAATTCTCCACCAGGCACTGGGGCCCCTGGGATGGGCAGGACTCTGACACTGTCCTCTGATGATTAGAGATTTCTAAACGCCCACAATGTCCCCTCTGTCACTGGAGTTTATCAGGAGGGAAGGCTGGTCCATACTTGCACTAGTCATGTTAAATAATGTCTTTCATTTACATGTAGACATTTAAAATGATAGAAAAAGAGATATAAAAAATAACAGGCATTTTAGAGAAATAGAAAAAGTATCACCCATAATCCTTTAACTTACAGGCATTTTGCTTTATTTCCTTCCAACAATTTTTTCTTATAAAAATGTAGTCGCAACTACAGAGCACACATTATTGAGTATGCTGTGCTAAGTCGCTCAGTCGTGTCCGACGCTTCGCGACCCCATGGACTATAGCCCGAAAGGCTCCTCTGACCACAGGGATTCTCCAGGCAAGAATACTGGAGTGGGTTGCCATTTCCTTCTCCAAGGGATGTTCCCAACCCAGGGATCGAACCTAGGTCTCCCACATTGCAGGCGGATTCTTTATTGACTGAGTCACCAGGGAAGCCCATTATCGAGTATTCCCCTCTTTAAACATCTTTCTTTTGAGTCTTCCTATTTTTGTAGCCATCTCATTATTGTTGGACAATTTAGGGATATTTACTTCAAATAGACTTCTAGCATTTTTGTTGCCCCTGATGCATATTATGGAGTTGTTCTCCAAGAGGAAACAATTGTAGGACGGACTCTTGACAGGTCAAATCCTGGATCTGAAGGCAGAGGAACCTGGGCAGAAGCCTGTCTCAGCTACTTCTTAGCTTTGTGGCCTTAAGCACATCATTTACCTGCTGGAGCCTGCAGTGGTGCTCTGGGGACCCAGGGAAGCAGAGTACATACAGGGCTTGGGATACTTGCTGGGGAGTGATCAGGGCTCAACAGGCTGTTGGAAAGGGGCTTTCTCAGCCTCTTCCTATTCTTCCCCAGGTTCCAACCCAGGTTTCAGATTTGACTGAATGCTACTGTAGTCAAACGTCAGCAAGCCTGATGCTGACCTGGGGCAAAGCAAGAAAATTGACTGACCTGGGGCTCCTGGAGGTCCCGGAGGTCCCATGGCTCCAGGAGGTCCTGGGGGACCTGGGACAGTGATGGTTGATGATCCCTCTGTAAACAGAAGGCACGTTGAATGCTGAGCCCCACTCTCCTCATTCTGAGGCACAGGGACCAGGCCGGGCTGTGGGCCAGGTTTGGCCAGTACAACCTCTAAAATTCCCCCACCCTCCTCCCTCTGACTGGCAGAGCTCAGCACTGCATTCCGCCCAAAGCACCAAGCCTGCAGGTGTGGAGGGTATGGAGACAGAGCCAAGACAGATGCCCAGTACCCTCTGCCAGTACCCTCTGCAGGGCCTGCCTACCTGAAGTCATGATCTTGCCTGGAGCTCCTGGTTCACCTGGGAGGGGAGGAAGAGGAGAGTGGTCAGTCCCAGGATCAATTAGTGGTTCAATAAATCATTTTCAAGGTTTCTGATTGCATTTGAGACCCACTCCTGGGCTTCTAACCCTCAGGCTAAAGGCATCTGAATGAACTGAAGGGAAACAGGCAGGATGCATTGAGCAACAGTCTGTGCCCTGGAGACCCTGGAAGCCAGAGCATCAATCTTCTTGGCCCACAATAGTTTTTGGAAGAAGCCGGGTCTCTGCAAAGGGGCTTCACTGGTGGGTGTTGGAGAGTGTGCCTTTTGATGAGGCCAGAATATGCCAACTCAGGAGTCATTCCCACTCCCATAGTCGATCTTCTCCCTCCACAGGCATCGAAGGCTCTTACTGGGAATTGCTTTAGGTGGGAAGAGTGCTGAGAGGTCAAAGAGCACAGGTCGTGAGCCTGCGGGGTCTAGTTCCCACGTTCCTCAGGGGCTAATTCCCTGGGACAGGGTAGGGGCTGTGCAGAGTTAAGGGGGGCGCGGGGTCTGTGGTCTGAGGAATCCCGAATTATGTAAAGGTTAACAGATGTCTTCTCTGCCTTGTGTTTCAGAGGGTTGAAAAGGCAAATGTGCATGGATGACTTCCAAGAAGGGGATGGGAGATTCATACTTTCTCAAGGCCATCTCAATGAGGAATCTCTGTGGACTGGAGACCCACAGATTCTAGAGAACCAAGAGAGTGAAGTACAGGATGGAAAAGTCCTTGACTGGAACGTTCTTGTCATTTCCCAAGGCCTGTGGGTATTCAGTCATCCACACACTGAGGGGTGATGCTGATTTCCCCCTTTGGGGGAGCAGAGGGGTGGTCTCTGCTTGTGTCCTGCCAGCCCCTGGGGGCTCAAATCTAAGAGAAAGTACTTGTTTTTGTTGGAACACAATCCAGTATTGGGTACAATGTCCACCTCTTGTGCACACTGGACAGAAAGCCACAGCCCCTGGAGAAGGGCAAGGGGGCTCTCCTGGAGAATCCCAGGCCTCTCCCTGAGCAGATCTGTGGACCCGGAGATGTGTCTGCCCGGGATGTGCCTGAAAGAACTCCTTGCCCCCAACCAGTTGCTAGAAATAGTTTCTGGAAAGTAGATCCTCGCAAGGTGACAGTGATAGAGGGCAGCTCTATGGAATGTCAGGGATCAGGATGGTAGACTCACAGGGACAGAAGGAGAGGACCGTCCCTGAGCAATGCCTGTCCTGCACTGCTCAGGGCTGGAGGCGGATGCTAGTGTTGCCCTACGTGGAAGGGTCCAGTCCTGAGGCTGCTCCCCCCAAAGCTCTGGCTTCATCCTCTCAGTAGCATCTGAGACCCTCCTGAATGAAAGTCCCCTCTCAGAAAGGGGGTGGCCATGTCCCAGTTACACTGAGGTCTACGTGGATTATAAAACCTGTCCCAGGGAAGAGTCACACTATGGGGGATCAGCCTAAGTGAGGGGATGGAGCACTCTCGGGGTGTTTTAGAGGTGAGATGGAAAGGCTTTCAGGGGTGGGGGCAGCACCCTTCCAGATCCTCCTTCATCAAAGGCTTGGAGAAACCCAGGCACCAAAGTGAGGTTCTAGATTGTGGGAAACAGAGTGGGGCTTGAGGATTCAGGGCTTAGTTGATCAGAAGAATCTTGGCTGCTCAGCCTCACAGCCTTCCTCTGAAGCCACTAGATGCCACTGTTGGTCCAGGCTCTTGCCAGAGAGGGGCCTCCTGCAAAAATGACTAGTGACTATCTAGTTTGTTTGCAAAACCACTTACCTTTAACTCCTGGTCGGCCGGGGGTACCAGGAACTCCTGATGTAATTGAAAACAAGTCAGTCAGGATATTGAAGGGCCAGCAATCTCAGACACCCTGTGGTGGCGCCTAGCACTTGGTCACCCAGCAAGGCCGCAATCACACTCTGAAACCGCAGGCCCAGCTGACTCTGACTTCCACCTGGGCCCAGCGGCCCCTCAGGCAGCCTCTGGCTCTGAGCCCTTCTCCATCTCTAGGAAATGGGGCAACAGCTGGGCTGGAGGGAGGCAGAGGTGCATGGACCCTGCTGTAGGGGATCCCAGCCCCTCTGGGTGATGTGCCCCCCGCAGCCTCGGGGAGTAGGGGCTGGGCAATATATCTGATATATCTAAGAGAATACATCTCTTAGATATATCAGATATATTCCTATATATTCTATATCTGATAACATTGCCTTTTGGGTTCATCCCCTGAATTCTACCAGAAAGCATTAGAAACAAGTCCCTGTGTGCTAAACTGTTGGGGGAGATGTTTGATTTTATTTTACATCTTTGCCTAATTTCCTCTAGGAGTTGGGGCTGGTGTGGTGACAATTTCTCAGATCCAGGTGGGTGCACACTATCCAGCTATCAGACAGACTGGACACTGGGGCTGTCCCAGAGGGGCTGGGCCCTTCTGCGCGACATGACACCCACTTCCTGCTGCGCCATGGAGGATGTGGTCTCTGTGGGGCTAACGGGACTTCTGAGCCTGGAGCCTCCTCTCGGGGTCGGGGGGAGTGTGTGTGTTGGAGGGGAGGGGGGGGGGTCCCTGCACCATAGGGGGCCAGGCTCAGGCAGACAGAATTTGCTTGTGATCTAACCTCATCTCTTCCAGAATGCCTTTCTAGATTGTTCTGTGAGTATTTTTCCTTCCTAAGGTGTTTCTTCAGACTCAGTAAAATGACCTGAACCCATTCTTGCTGGAGGGTGAGGGGAGGAGTGGAAACACTCTGGTGACTGGAGAAGCATCTGCCGAATGCCAGGGGTGGGCGTGACCCAATGACTCACCCTGAGGTCCTTGGGGTCCAGTGAGACCTATGCAAAACAAAAGACATGAGAGGAGAGTTGAAGGGCTGAGGAGCCTCTGCCTCAGCCCAGGAGTGGTGCAGGGAGACGAATCCCATGTTTGGGGCAGCCGGACTCCAGGGTCCTCGTCACCCTGGACGGGAGTAGTTCTCTGACCCACTGCTCCCCTGGGGGATGGTCCTTAGCTTTCTCGGGGTCTCAGACCCTTTGGTGTCTGAGAGCTACAAACCCAGAAAGTTCACACACTCATTGACTCTAATGCTGCCCCCTAGGCTATCTCCTGGGTGCTCCCCATCCGTGCACCCCCGAGAGGAGCCAGGGGGCCCCCTGCTCCTCACGGGCCCCTGAGGATTGCCATTTGCCCTCATGGCTTTCTTGTTTTGATTTCTTCCTCCTGCAGCTCTGGGGATCTTGCTCCTGTTGGGCCTTTGGTGGTGACCCTGACAGCATCTTCTTTTCCCAAACTGGCAGCCACCGGTGACTGTCCGGGTATGGCCTCAGGAGGTCTGCAGGGGAAGGGCTCAGAGGAGCCAGGAACTGAGTGGCAAGAAACTGCTATTTTTAAGAGATTCCTTGCCGCTTTCTAGAACTCCTTGCTTTTGGTGTTGATCTTTTTTTCTGAGTTGCCAGACTTGGTGACTGGGCTGTCAGGACCCACAGTCACTATGCTCAAGCCAGCATTCTCCTGATAAGTTTCTGGAGGAAAATGGACTCAGAAAGGTATACACACACACACACACACACACATAGCATGGCCAGCTCCCTCTTCCCACTCTTTACCTGGCTTCCCTGGGTCCCCAGAAGGTCCTGGTAATCCCCGGGTTCCCGGCATTCCTGGAAGACCTTGTTCCCCTAGAGAGAGCAATGCCACATGGAGAGTTTTCCCTCTAGGCAAGCTGGCTGGCCCGCACATGGGAGCTGGGGGCTCTTTGGGTTCTACTGAATAACGTGCCAGCAGACGGAAGGGAGGAAGGGAGTGAGACCCGGACCTTGCACACCTCCCTGTGACATACACCCCCGGTATTGTGACTGGGGGGCTGGGGGCTGCCTGCTGGGACGTGGACAGGGCTCGGAGGGGGCAGGCAGGGGAGGCTTGGGAGTGAGGAGAGCAGCTCCTTGACCAACCTCTTGGGCCTTGATGTCCATCGGGGCCAGCGGGTCCTGGGAAAGCAGATCAAAGCTCTTCAGTGACTCTGATAGCTACCCTGGGACTCCTCCCTCAACCACCCTACAGCCTTGCAAGCTGTCTCCTAGGTGGGGGGAGGGGGAGCCCCTGCAGCCCCTCCTGCAGCCATGAGACATGGAAGAAGCCCTGTCCTTGTCACACTGCTGGGCACAGTATTCCCCTGCCCTCTCCTCCTAATGCCTCTTTTCCTGCCGAGAACTCTTCCAAGGCCCCCACTGCATGTCCCACACCAGATGCTTAATGTGTCGGCCTAGAGATCAAGGCCCTCCAAGATCTTGTCTCCTCTGCTGTAGGCATCATCCTAACCTCTGTCTAAAGTCATGTCCATCTGGGACCAGCTCTTGCTTTTTGTCACCTCTTTACCTTTTCTCACTCATATGGCTGCCTGTGCCTGGAATTTTCTAAGTTGATGGGGTTAAAATCTTCTTTAGTTTTTCGAACCATCTGAAAAGCCCCTTCCTCCCTCCTTCTGGGTGGAAGAAGCCTCTCTCTCTGCTGTTTCCTCAGAGCACCCTGTACCTCTCATGGCCCTCATCACCTCACAGAAGCTTTATCTCCCCTCGAGGGAGGGAAAGCATCTTATTGCCCAGCACAGCATCCTGACCTCTGTCAGCACTTCCTAATAGTTCACAAAATGAATGAGATCAAGGCACCACATCCCCATCAGTGGGGCTTAAACCCTTCTGGGACATGTTGCCAAACGCCTGGCTACCTGGGGTGGCCAGCTCCGGGGGGGGGCCTTTGGCCAGCTTCCTTGTCCTTGCTGACAGGCCGCTCAGGAAGGGTCAGCCCAAGGGCTGAACCCTGCGATCTGGCTGTGAGACCAGCCCTGGAGTATCAGAGCTGTGCCTAGAATTCTGCAGGTTCTGAAGAACCTCAGCTCTTGCCCCGTCCTCCCCAGGGGCCTGAGTACCTTGGAGGTAGGAATGGGGGTGGGGGGGGATGGACCATGTCTTGCCAAGACCCCCCACCCTCAGAGCAGTAAGAAGCTGTCAGAGACAGTGGCAGCTATGTGAGCCCCAAGAGGATGCCCAGATTCAGGAACAGCCTGTAAATGGAGTCTCTGCCAGGGAGTGGACAGATTAGAGAATGAGAGACACAGCTCTAGACGGATCTCAGCTCTAGGGCATGATGATGATGGCAGCGGTGCAGACCCATGGTGCGTGCTGCTTTGGGACACTCACCCATCGCTCCTTTAGCCCCGGGCTCACCCACGGCACCAGGTAAACCTTTCAAGCCGGGCTCGCCTGCAAAGGAAGTGGATTAGGTGATGGAGAAGCTTGACCATGATAGAGCATGCCACCCTGCCAGACACCCCGAAGCCTGCCACCTCTCCGACCAGAGGAACCTGGCAGGTCAACCGGAGGCTGGGGACACAGTGTCTGATTTCATTCTAAAGTCAGACCTCCCACCCCCAGCAGCAGGCATGGACTGGCCCAGAGGCCACACCTGGTCTGGAGGGGCCTGTGTATGAGTCTCATTTCCTTAGCAACAAAAAGCTACCTCTTGTGGCCAAAGCATTAGTACTACTTCCTTTTAATCGTGCAAGTTGGCAGGAGGTAAGGGGAAAAAGGGATATGAGTAGTGTAAAATGTCTGCCACTTTGGGAAGGACTTAGTTTTCCAACTAAATTCTTCAAAAGAATCAGAGACGATCACAAACTATCTTTTCTGTTCCAAACATATATTGCTGATGCTGGCTTATACTCCACTCCAGATTGCAAGTCCTCTGAAGGTTTTTAGACAGAGATTCTCTCTGATGCTTCTGTATTTTTTCCCCCACTTACAGTATCCAATGGAGTTATAAAAAGTCTTTAGATTGACAGTAGATTCCTGTGTGGGACTGACCTGTGAGGCCTCGGGGTCCTTTCTCACCCTGGTCACCTGAAATAAGCATGGGGTGAGGGGCAGGGGTAGAGAAAAGTAGCATCAGTCAGGAGCAAGGAAAAGAATCTCACTCAGCAAGAGGGACCCTGGCTGCAGAACAGTTCCCACAGTATCTGGAAGCTGCTATCTGCTGAATGTTGGTGAGAACTCAGCATTAACAAAGACCCAGAAAGCAAGCTAGGTAGATTTCTCCTGGGTCAGGGCCCACCCACAAACTGACCCAGGCCTTTCTGTCTCACCAGTGGCTGCTGGGGGCAACAGGGGGTCCAGACTAGCGGGGAGAGGCCTCAGGGCTGTGTCCGCGCTACTCCGAGGACCACCCGACTACAGTACTGTGACGCTGCTGCTGTTTCTCCTCTGTGCCTCAGAGGCTGGACTAGAGCCTCGGATCCCTCCCAGCCCTAGGGTCTGGTCATCAAGACCCAGGGACAGGGTTCACATCTGGGTTCCCAGGCTGTGGTGATGTCCGAGCAGCAGCAGGAGCAACACACCTTTGGGTCCCGGTGGTCCCATAGGTCCTTTGTCACCTGAAAAGGAAATGGTCACCTCAGTGTGAAAAGCCTTGGTGGAACGAACAAGAAGGGGCAGAATCTGTGGCAGAAGTCAGGCTCCCCCACCGTCCTGACTGCCCCTTCCCCTCACACACCTGTCGGCCTGCGCAGGCTGTTGTGAGCCCACCAGACCCTCCCTGTGCCCCAGACCTCCTTCTTGAGTGAACTGCGTCTCTAAGGTAATGACCCTCCCCCAGCCCCTCCCCCCAGCTTACCTTTGATACCAGGGAGTCCCACTTCACCTCGGAGTCCTTGGGGACCTATAGAGCCTGCACACAGAGGAAACGACATGGGTGGATGAGTGTCCCCAGCTTTGGAAGGGATGGACATGCACACGGGTACATGCACACATCCGCACACACATACCTACTAGGCACACACATGCACAGACAAACACACTCCCTGGGGTAAAAGTCAAGGGCTGCTGTTCATGGTCTCCGCCCATGTCCCCACTACCTCATCCTGGACTAGGTTTCTGGTGCCTGCGATTCCCAGGCCCAGGCATGAGAACCCCTCGTGGGGACCCTGGCAGAGACGCTGGACTGCAGGACACTGTGGGCTGCAGCTCGAGACGCCCGGCACGCGCTCTGGCCCACAGGGATGAGGGGAGGCAGGCGCTTCGTTCAGATCAAAGCAGGATGGGAGCCGCCTGCTGGAAGCGCTGGAGGGTCTGGTGCCCCAATTTGAGTAAGAACAGTCTCATGGGGCCCATTGTACCCGACCTTAACCACAGGTGGCACACAGGCAGAGGGGAGCTTTGTGTCTCCAGGAGGCTTTCTTTAGAATTGCTTCTTTGGCTTTAAAAATGTTTGTTTCTCCATTTAACCTCCCTCTCTTTGCCCCAGAAATAGCATCTATTTTTGAGAAGAAGGCCACTGACCTGGGGGACCCTGCAGGCCAGGAGAACCACTGGAACCTGAGGAGGACAACAGGACAGTAATGATCAGATGGGTTGGTTACAGGCCGGGACACTGACCCCATGCAGAGTGGCACGTGGAGGGGGTGGGGCATACACCCCAGGTGAGGGCTGCGTGTGTGCACCAGGACCCCAGAGTCGGCGGGTCCAGGAGTGACCCCAGTGTGAAGTCCTTCTTAGGGAGGAAGCTGTGGCTGTCAGGATCAAAAGACCCCCTGCTCCTTCCTGGTCGAACATTTGGGCTAAGGCAGGGGCAGGGAGGAGAGGGGACCAGTTGGACATCGCACTGTGAGAAGGCCCTATCCCTTGGCGTGTCCAGACAGATTGCTCTTGAATGTTTGCCTCTGGGCCCCGACTGGCAAGGAAATTGTCTGACTTCTTATTTCCAGATTCATCCACCCACTTATGGGCCACATAACAGGGTCATTGAACAGAAATGGGAACATTTGGGCTAAGGCAGGGGCAGGGAGGAGAGGGGACCAGTTGGACATCGCACTGTGAGAAGGCCCTATCCCTTGGCGTGTCCAGACAGATTGCTCTTGAATGTTTGCCTCTGGGCCCCGACTGGCAAGGAAATTGTCTGACTTCTTACTTCCAGATCCATCCACCCACTTATGGGCCACATAACAGGGTCATTGAACAGAAATGGAGGCATAACCCCCAAATTCGCCACAATACATTCACCAAAATTTGCCAAATATAAATAAATTTGCCAAAAATACAGCTCCAATCCTGACACCCAGGGACTCTTTTCTGGGGAGGGGGACCCTCTCTGGGCCTGTCAACCCTGGAGCTGTGGATTAGGGCTGTCGGGGATCCCAGTGCCTGGACCTCTGAGATCCCTCCTGGACATGGCAAACTTGGGCACAGTGTGGGCACTTGACTTACCTTTGGGACCGACAGAGCCTGGGACACCAGGTGGGCCCTGAACACCAGGTTTACCGGCATCCCCTGGGGAGAAATAAGCACTCTGAGAGAGTCCCCCCACTTCAGTCACCCACTCAGCCCATGTGGTATCATTTGCAGGTGGAAAACACTTCCCACCCTGCTGGTGGTCTCAGATCCGTTGGGCCTGAACCCACATCCCAGCCCATGCCCCCTTCTTAGGCCACAGGATCCAGCACAGACCCTGGCTCAAAGCAGGTACTCAGCTAATGGAAAGTGAAAGAGAGAGGGAGGGAGAACCATGTGAGGAGGAAGTGTGGATGCGGCCAGTCTGCCCAGTGAAGGAATTGCCTCTTACCTCTGTCTCCTTTCTCTCCAAACCCAGGGGGCCCTGGTTCACCGCGAGGTCCCATGGGGCCTTCTCGCCCTCTCTGGCCCATGGGCCCCTCCATGCCAGGCTCACCTAAAGACAGAAATGCCCACCTCAGCTAGTCACCAGATAGGCAGCATCTTGCTGGCAAGACACCTGCCTGGAGTCTCCACACCTACCTCCCTACTTCTTTTCCTCTGCAGCCCAAACTCAGTGCAGAAGCCAGAGTTTGAAAACGCAAGTTGATCGTGTCCCATTTCTGCCCCAACCTGCAAACAGCTTCTCAGCTCACTGAGAATAAAAGCCATATCCTTGCAAGGTCTCCAAGGCCCCTCCCTCTTGACTCTTGGCCTCCTTAGATGGCTCCCGACACCCTCCTCCTCCTACTCCTCCCCAGGCTCCCAGACCCTTGCCCAGGCCTGTATCTGCTCCCTCTGCCTGGAAGGTTCCCCTGGATCATCTTAGGCCTGGCTCCCTCTCTCATTTCACATCTTTGCTTAAATGGGACCTTCTCAGTGAGGCCTTCCCTGCCAGCCTTATTTTCAATTACCTTCCAGACGCTACAGCCCTTCCAGACCCACTGGCCTCTATGTTCCTATTTTACCAGTCACTTCCTCCCTCTGTATACTTCATTTATCTATCATGTCTATTGTTTATCTGCACCCAGAAGTAGGCAGGGGTTCTCTGTTTTGTTCACCACCCTCTCCCCAACACCTAAAACAGGGTCTGGCACAGAGCAGGTACCTAACAAAAACATTTACTGAATGAATGAATGAATGAGGGAATAAGTGAACAGAGAAATGGTTCTTACCCATGTTGCCTTTCTGTCCCTTTGGTCCCTCTGGACCTTGGTGGCCCAAGGGCCCAGGGATACCTGTGGATACACAAGAATAGCTCAGCCTTTCTTTCCTCCTAGATACCAGGAGCCAGGACCCAGTGGTCCGCAACCCTAGCAGCACCATCAGAGGCTACACACCTGGAGTTCCAGGGAACCCTCGGTCTCCTGTGGGAACAAAGAAAGAAAAGTCAAGCAGAGGACCCAGGCTGATCACCTAAAGGAGCCTCCAGTGGAATTCAGGTAGGATGGCCAAACTACAATATGGGACGCTCAGGTAACTGAATTGCAGATAAACCCTGAATAAATTTTTAGTATTTGGGACATACTTATAGTGAAGAATGATTTATTGTTTATCTGTGATTCAGATTTGACTGCATGATGGTGTGAAATGAAAATATCTCCTATATTAATGAACAAGAAATTTCACAGCCATCAGCGATTTCTGGCCTCCAAATGTGAATGAGGAAGCCCAAAACTGCGATCCAGCAGATGCTGCCACCCCCACGGTGATTGCTGAGGAGCTGGGGGAATGCAAGAAACAAGGTGAACAAGGAAACAGGATTGGCCCCAGATAGCTGAGGTGCATATGAAAGAAATGAATTCGGTGAGCCTAGAAGCTTCCATCCTTCCATACATAGAATGCTCACTTCCTTAACTGAATACCTGATCTTTGATGTTCAAACTACCTGCTCCCTTTGTTGCAAACTTGTATATAGCCTGACACCCACCACCCCCTCGGAGCAGTTCTCTCAGAGATCCTGACATGCTGTTTTCTGGGCTCAGGGTCCTAAACATTCCAACCAAACAAAATAACTCTCTACTTTCAGGTTGTGACTGTACTTTTAGTCGACAATGGTCAGGGTGGGTTCATAGCCTGCAAGCTGGAGCCTTGGGGAATGGAGTGCAGAGGTGGTGACCCAGTGGGCAGGGAATCTTGAACTTGGGAGGCCATCAAGTAGAGGAACCCCAATTCCTGCACCGGGATCTCTTGAGAAGGGAGGTGAAGCTGAGAAGAGAGGGGGTGACCCTGCCATCTCCAATAGTGATTCTCAGAATGGTCTGTGTACCCCTGGCCTTGGAACCACCTGGGCTGATCCAGACCACAGGCCTCCTCAGGGTCCTTGCTGTGGGAACCCCTAAGATTGGGCCAGCGACAGGACTGCCCCAGAGGTTCTATCGGGAAGCCCCCACTTCCCCCACTCCTGGTCCCTTCCCCAAAAGCCTGAGGGTCTGCAGGCTGCTCTGCAATTCACAATCCTACCACAAGTCGGGGATGGCCAGGGAGGGTGGGAAGTGTGTTTTCTGGCACTTGCTGATTGCTTTAAACTGTCAACCCTCACTAATATTTAAGGTAAAAATTTTGTTCTATTTACCTTTAGGGCCTTGAACTCCCATGTCACCTAAAATAAGAGAGACATGAGAACTGTGAGATGTGGTGAGAAGCCAAGGGCCATTCTCTCCTAAAAGTCAGTGGACCCCATGTAAACGACATTTCATAGTGAGCTGGCGTGTGGCATGGCTTCCTCTCCATCACCATCGGTGTCTCTTGGGCTCATCATTCGCCTCTCTTAGACGACACTTTAGCTCCCTTCCCATTCTAAGATATTCTGACGGTAGAGCCAGTTCTCAGCCCTCCCAACAGATTCTGTAAGATCTTTCCACTGCTCATCCTTCAATTTGGGGGAAAAAAAAAGTTTTCCAAACTCGCCCCACTCCCCACCCCCAGAAAACTTGGGTCCAAGTGCAGGAAAAGGGCTCCATCCACTGCGATACCTTTAGGCCCAGGGCTTCCTCGGAGATTTCCTACAAGAGACAGCAAAGCAGGAGTTAGCTGCACATCTTCTGTGTCACAACCACACAAGCACAACACACACACCCCTGAAGGGGATCAGTGGTATGGTGGGACGAAACAGGCTAGGACTAGCTACCTGATTCTAAAGTATGCAGGTTGGACAATGATCCCCAGCTCCCAGTTTTTCTAACCATAAAATAGGATACCAATATGGGTCCTCCCTCCATCCCAGGGCTGTCAAGAGAGCTGAGTGAGGGGCGCTGGGGATTGCCCTAAACAGGCACCACTCCATATACAGGAGCCAGGACTGGGAGCTGCTGACCTTTCCCCCTGTGATGTGCTCACCGTTTTCCTGTTCTGTCATCAGCCTGGCCCTCACGAATTGCCAGATGTCCTCCTGATTGTAGCCATCAAGCCCAGATTTTCCTAGACCTTCCCCCAGCCTGGGCGCAACCCCCTGGACAGCATCCTGGCTGCTCCTCTCCATCTTCTCGTTGTAAGACAAGCGGCCCCTCATTTTCTCCAGCTCGTCCACACGTGCCTTCAGCTTCCTCACTTCCTCGGCTGGAACAGACACACAGAGACAGCATCAGGACAGGAGCCTGCCAGCCAGTGCCTTCCTAGTGCTCCAGGGGAGGCTGAAATGGGAGCTCTGGAGGCCGTGGTGGCTTCTTCACGCTGCGGGGACATTTTACTGGAATATTTTTGGGGAGATAGTCTGCTGTGGCTACCGGCAGGATGAGTTACTCAAAACTGGAACTGAGACTTGAAGAAGCCTGGCCATGGTGACAGAGCTAGCCCTCAAGTCTCCCAAGGGAGCTGGTGTGAGTCAACAGAATGTGAAAAGTAGAAAGGCTATGAAAGGTCTGGCCTGATTATTAAGGGCAGCAAGGGGCTTGGAGCAGGATGCCACTGGCATGGGGCCCTTGTTCCCTGGGAACCAGGAGCTGCCTTAGAGTCCCAGCTCCGCAATGGAGCAGCCACAGGACCTTGACCAGGGGCCTCCTGGGGCCCCAGCCTCCGCATCTGCAGGAACAAGGGGTCTGCACCCATGATCTCGGGCCCCTTGGCACCTGACACTTGGGATACTTGCTGGTTCCTGCCCTTCTGAACAGGCAGCAGGGCCCTGCCACACGTACCCAGAGCGATGAGGCCGAAGAGCAGCCCCAGGAGCAGTAGCCAGGTGAGCAGCAGGCCCAGCAGCCACTTCCACCAGCTGCACCAGGAGCCGCAGGGGCACCAGGCAGGCGCCGCCCCCCACGAGCCCTTGCCCCCTCCACCAGCGGCCCCACTGCCAAGGGCACCGCCGCCGCTGCTGCCGCCACCACCTCCACCACCACGGCGGTGGTCGTAGCCGTGGATGTCTGTGGAAGAGAGGGCAAGGGTAAGGTGGCTGCCGGCGGCTCGTGCCCCCTTCCCTCCAAATTCTCTGACTTGTGGTGATTTCCTGCAGGCCTGAGTGAGCGTGAGTGGGCTTGCAGGCAGGTCCCTGTGGTTCCTGGAATAAACAAGGAACCGTGCTGGCTGATCATGAGCAGAGGTCTGACAATCCTGGGCTTGAGCTGTGTGAGCCTGAAAAGGTCCCTTAAACTCTCTGGTTCCTCTTTTTAGAAAATGGAGTTCAGGAGAGCCGGCCTTCCTCTTCTCCAGCATTTATTGCTTGTAGACTTTTGGATAGCAGCCATTCTGACTGGCGTATAATGGTACCTCACTGTGGTTTTGATTTGCATTTCTTGTCTTTTATTTCCTAGGAAATTCATTTGTATCATAATCAATACTACATGTGTGCCTGTTGCCGGGAGCCAGCACACGAGATCCCACCCATGACAAGGTCATGAGAAGGCCTGACAAGCAAGGCAGATCAGGACTTCAGGAATTTCGAAAACCTGCCCCGGCGCTCACCTTAAAGATGATCTCTGTCTTTCTGATGCTTGCTAAATTAGACCACTCCCTAATTTCTGTGACACAGGGAGAAGGCCTTCCCCGACTTCTCTCCAAACAGAATCAACTTAGAACTTTAATCAACATGTCCCCCCGACAGCGGTATCCTATAAGATTATCCAGCATGAAAGGAGTGTTTCAATTTAGACCCTTTGCTAGCCTGCTTGGCAAATGCGTATTAATGTAACACAAAAATATTATTTTAAAAGTGGTTAGAATTGTTCATTTTAACCAGGAATGCTAAACAGGGGCTGCCTCACTGGAGCTGCAGAGTCTTTGTGTTGTAAACCTTTTAGATAAATTCAACTAATAACTTCTGCAAAAGGACTAACCTTTGTGTTCATTAAAGAATAGATTACAGGAAAACAGCTTTGCATTCACCTAGGTCATAAAATGTCAATAGGCCCCGAGGCCAGAAGATAATGTATAAGACACTCACAAAGAAGTTACTGTAAACACCCTGGTTTCCTGAGGGACAAGATGATGTAATGTTAAACTTTCTTTCCCTAAAAATGTACTTACTTAGAATATAAAAGCTACAGTAAAAAATAAAGATTTGCCAGACCCTGCAAACACCCCTGTCTGGTCATTCTCTCTCTCTCTCTCTCTCTCTCTCTTTCTTTCTCACTCTCTCCCTCGCAGACTTGGCCCTATCAAGGCTGGTCTCACGGCTGTCTCTCGCCGACGCCATTCATCCTGAGGGTACCCCTGGATCCTGCTGAGGCTGGACCCCAGCAGCCTGTGTGCTTAGTTGCTTAGTCATGTCTCTTTGTGACCCCATGGACTGCAGCCCACCAGACTCCTCTGTCCATGCAATTTTTCAGGCAAGAATACTGGAGTGGGTTGCCATTTCCTCCCCCTGGTATCTTCCAGATCCAGGCATCAAACCCTGTCTCCTGCACTGGCAGGTAGATTCTTTACCACTGAGCCATCTGGTAAGCCCAGTCAACACTACAGCAAAAGCCAATGACTTTTTTCTTCTGGAACTAGTATTTCTGTGTGACCTGTGAATTCACATGACCTTTCCAGGATTACAAAAATATCTAGCACTCAACAAGATAAAATTTATATCTGGCATCAATGATTACCAGGTAAGTAAAGAAGGAGAAAAACATTATCGTAAAGGAGATTAATCAATCAATTGAAACCAACAAATGTCAGAATTAGCAGAGAACTGATTAAATAATTATGATAATTCTATTTGTTCAAAAGTTTAATAGAGTTAACTAAAAACATTAAAAATACTCAAATCAAACTTCTAGATATGATGACTATAATGTCTGAGATGGGACAACTTCAAGTGGTCTAATACAAAAGTAACTGGAATCACTAAAGATTCCAACTATACAACATTCTGGAGATGGCAAAACTATGGCAGTAAAAAGATCAGTGGCTGCAAAGGTTCAGGAGGGAGGGGTGAACATAAGGAGAACAGGGAAGTTTAGTACCATAATGGTTGACGTACCACAATGGTTGATGTATGTCATTATATTATTTGTCAAAACCCATAAGTTACAACACAAAGAGTGAACCCTGATGCAAACTATGGACTTTGCTTGATAAACCAAGATTGACAATGGTGTGGCAATGGTAATTCATAGATTGTGTAATAGATGTCCCACACTAATGTGGGAGAGACTGTATTGGTAGGGAAGGGGGAGGAACATGTGGGAACTCTGCTGTCACTCAGTTTTGCTGTGAATCTAAAACACTTTAGAAGAAGTCCTTAAAGGAAAAGGAAAATCAAACCATTGGAAATCTAGATCTAAACAAATGAAAACCACTGGAAATGGTAACTAGGTAAATACAAGTTTTTTAAAAATGTCATTTAAACTTTGAGAGATAATTTTGATTGTTTAAACAATAGCCTAAAGGCTGGGAGGGAGGAAGTGGAACTATACTATTTTAAGGATATTATACTAAGTGTGAAGTAGTGTAATATAAGTTGAAAGAAGACTGTGACAAGCTAAATTATCAATATATATGATAAACCATAAAGCAACCACTTAAGTAACAGTTACTTATAATAAGCCAATAAAGGAAAAAAAGGAATCATAAAAATACTTATTAATCTAAAAGAGTGCAGAGAAAAGAAGAATAGATGACACATAAAAAATAAGATGAACTCAAATGTAACCATATCAATAATCATATTGAATGTAATTGGTTAAACATTACTGTAAAAGGCAGAAATTGGACTTTTTTTTAAAGGCAAGACTACACTATATGTTGCAAGAAAACAATTTTAAATATGAAGCACAGATAAGTTAAAAGGATGGAAAAAATGTTTGCACCATGCCAACACTAGTCTTAAAAAAAGGTAAAATTGTTACATTTCAGAGAAAATAATATTACTTGGAATAAAAAAAGTCATTTTATAATGAAAGGGGATCAGTTAATCAAGAGGATATAACAGTCCTATATGTTTACGTACCTAAGAACAACTTCAAAATATAGGAAATAAAACTGATAGAATTGCAAGGGTAAAAAGCCAAGCCTGTAATTATATTGTCATAGGTACCAATGCCCTTTCTCCATATTTGATAGAACAAACAGGCAGAAAATCAGCAAGAAGTTAACAGACTTGAAAAAACATTATCAACCAACTTGTCCTGTTTAATGCCCTACCCAACAGAAACAGAATGCACATACTTCTAAGTGCATACAGAATATTTACCAAGGTAAATCATAATCTGGGCCATAAAACAAGTCTTATTAGTGAATTTAAAATAATTCAAGACATTGTGTGTTCTCTAACCACAATGGAATTCAATTAGAAATCACTACTTTTCTATTATTTTCACTAGCTAGAAAATTTCCAAATACTTGGAAAACTTCAGTAACACATTTCTAAATAATCCACAGATAAAAGGAAGAATTCTACACTTTTTATATATTGAAAAGTGAAAGTTGAAAGTGAAGTCGCACAGTCGTGTCTGACTCTTTGCGACCCCATGGACTGTAGCCTACTAGGCTTCTCCGTCCATGGGATTTTCCAGGCGAGAGTACTGGAGTGGATTGCCATTTCCTTGGACACCTTGAACAGAAGTTTTGTGGGGTTTTTTTTGTTTGTTTGTTTCCAGTTTCATCAAGGTATAACTTGACATATAACTTGATGCAGAGTTGAACTAAATAAACACTAAGATGGCATATCTTTTGGCCAAAATTCACAGTAGTTTATAGGTTTCTCAAGAATAATAACAGTAAGTGATTTTACCTTTGTGCCAGGCATTTTCAGATGTGCTTAATACAAGTAAATCCATTTCACCTTTTACCTTTATTATCCCTACTATATTATCCCTATTATTGTGCCTTGAGGCACAGGGAGGTTAAATGAATAGCCCAGGCTCTAAGGTCTGCTTATTGGAAGAACCAGGATTTGAACCCAAAGTTCAAACCCAAACCCAAAGGCTCGAGGATTGATACTCTATTATTATACTATGCTTGTGTCATTTAACTATGAAATTTTAATTTTACTCTCTGATTTTAGAATGAACTTGATCCCCACTAAAGAAGTAACTCCTCACACTAAAGAGGTAATTGTTACTGAAGAACCACCTAGGATACATCTTTGAACATGTAAAGACACTGCTCTGTTAAATCTTTCCTTTGTTAGATTCAGTAAACTAAAATTTACTTACTGCTTCTCTTCTCCTCCGCTCTTGCTCTTTCTCCCGTGCTAAATTTCGGTCTTTGAGAAGCCACAGTTTGCCTTTATCTTGAGCTTCCTGTGACTGCTGCTGTTCTTTCTGCTCTTCTCCAAGACACTTGTTTTGCATTTTATTTGGAAAAGATTCTAGAGTGAAGCCATGGTCTCTTAAGAAACAGGAAAGTGAAAAGTAGGTTTCAAGCTCCTTAAAGCCTTTTATTATAAAGATACATTGTTAAATGATAAATATAAAGCAGTGTTCTAGATGTCCTTCTTCATATGTTATGACATTATTTTTTAATATTTCTGATGTCAAATTTTACATAGGGCAATATATGTTAACAAAGAGAAGGTTTTGGAAAATTATGACCAAAGTTTGCCATTATCTTCTTATACATAGAATGGAAACAATATTAAGACATTTCTGGAAAATAATGATACCATCATAATTCAGTAATATTAGTATTTTTAATAGCTTCTTTAATCACTTGATAATTTATATCCCCTTTAAAATAGGTATTACTACTTAATTTTTTTAAAAATTAGTAAAAATTCACTTTTCTAAATATAATTTGCTCTGTGGTCTACTAAATAGCTGAATAGAGTCACTTACAAAAAAGAAATTTAATATATTTAAAATACACAAATAACAACAACAAAAAAATATATATTTAAAATACATGTCCATATCTCCCCAAATCTCCACTAATCCAATAAATTACATACCTCTGATATTCTTGAAATACTTTTGGTTCCTTTGTATTCTGCTCCAGATGTTTCTGTATTAGTTCCTGTGTTCGAGCTCTTACTTCCTTTTCTATTGCTGCTTTTCTAAACTGGTTGAAGAGCTCATCTGATGATTTCAGTACACCTGATGTTTTGACTGGTTTGCCTAAACTTTTCCAAGAATCTGCATTCTTGATCTTTATATCCTAAAACAAATATTTGATTCAGTATACATCTAAAGATGTCAACTATTTGGAAGAAAAAAAAGATTCCAAAGGCTTTAGGTAATTTTACTAAAGTTAAAGATTACTAAAGTAGAAAAAAAACAGGATAATAA